GAAAAGAAAAACAGGAAAGAAATTATGCAGGGAAGTGTGTCATCCATTAGTTTGGTTCATCTTTAAAAAACAACTTCATATGCATGAAAGTGAAGCACTTTTCTGTTTAAAACAACTTATTCAAGTAGAAACGCAAAAGAATTAGCCTGTTTTAATGCAAAATCTAAAGAAAAAAAAATCAAGAAGTTAGTAAAAAATGCTGATTGAAACATGGCGGAGGATGACATATCTGTAAAACAGGTAGAAGCCATCACTCTACAAGCAAAATCCACCTTACCTCTGCAACTTGTCCATGCAGTGTTTATCTCCAGCAGCCTATTTAAACACACCAGTTAAGCTAGTAGTCATGATTTTAGATTGTGGGTGTTAAATACCCTTTGAAGAACCCAAGAATGCAGGGAAAGCATGCAAACTCTATGCATGAAGACCTTAGGCCAAACCCAGAACCTTATCGTCGCAACGTTATGTTGCTTCTGGAGGCTTATGCAGATTTATTTTATTTAAATAAAATAACAGTGCTTCAACTTCACCACCACACAAGCTCCCAGGAGTAACGTAAAGAGCTTAATAAGAACTAGTCAGGGACAAAAACTATTGAGGTTTTTGTTTGTTTGTTTTTTTGCTGCAGGAGGGACTGGTGCACTTTTCCATCACGAGAACAGTAAATGTGGGTAAAATATGTGGGCAACCTCCAAATATCTGCAGGGAAGTTAAAGCTTGGGTGCAAGTGGGTCTACCTGTGTGAGCAAGGCAGCCTACAAACTGGACTCAGGGACAGCAGAGATTAGGATTGGACCAAAATCCCAGCAAACCTTTGAGCTTATGCAAGAAAACACAAATTATTTGACCTATGTAATACAGTTTAAAGGTCGGCTCTACTGTATATGAAGGAAATGGGGAGAGGCGGCCCACTGGTTAGGGCTTAGACCCTTAACCTCACACTGCTCCCTGGCTGCAGCATAATGGTAGCCTACTGCTCCCCAAGGGGATAGGTTAAATTCAGAGTTAATTTCGTTGCTCTGTACTTGTGACAGTGTAATAACAATAAAAAGCTGAAAAAAGAAATATATGTGAATCTGGAAATGTTACTCCAGCATTTAGCCAATATAAATCATTTAAACATTAATACTTTGGTCTGATTTTATAGTTAGATATTGACAGACTATGGTTCTCTTTGTACAGTGTGTGTAAAAATCTGGTTACAGCTGTAAATACTGTGTTGTTCCTGACAAAAACAAAAGGAAGATCATTCAGACGTTTCTAAAACAAAAGCTTCACAGTAAATTTAGCGGGCTATTTTTAGTCGGTTTATGACTCACTTTCTCGACGATGGAGTCAGGAGATTGTGTTAAGCAGTCTGTGATCACAAGCTATTTTATTTTCCTGATTCCTTCAGGTTTCCCTTTTCTGGCAACCTCATCGGGCCACACAAACAGAACTGCTAGGCAACGCCGCTGACCTTTTGAGGGAATTAAGTGAGGACAGTGTGAACCTTTCAGTGCCCGAAAAGAGTAACTGCATCCAAATCGCATGTAGGGAGTTCATGGTATTCCATATTATTCCATCGGTTTCTCTGTTCATTTTTTTGTCCTTTGAGCAGACTGATTGTCTGCTCAGTGCAGGCACCCGTCACAGATTTGTGCACCAGCTGCAGTTGAATGTGTGATAAAAACCTAGGGACAAAAGTGTGAAGGAGAGCTTTAGAGTGAGCCTCTTTTCATCAGCCTGCAATGAAAAACATCGTCCACTTTGCTTTCATTTTGTGCCACTGATACGGATGCATTCATATAAAAGCTTGTTTTTCATTTCTTTGTCAGTGTGAAGAGTTTGTAATGTTCCTTTTCTTAACAGTCTTAATGTTTTGTGTAAATTAACTGGAAGGGATCCAGGTCCGTAGCCTTTAGGTAAACAGATGGCTTTATAGGCTGAACATTAGCTGAAATTATTTAAGATCGGCATTAAAGTTTTCTTACTGCTTTGTTTTATGCAAACACTGACACATTTTATTTTACCAGAAAAGTTGGAATACACTGTTATAATTTCCCATGTAGGGTTTTAAATAAATAAAAATTTTGCATTAGCACCTTCTTTAATGTTGATGCAAAGCAGAAAATGCTCATTCATATTTTCTTTTAACTAATCATTAATCAACTATAGATTACATTCAGAGAGGACTCACTAGATAGAAGATATAATGTATGCAGGGCTTAAAAAATGCAATCTTTTTTGTCTAATGGGCAAATTTTATTTGACAGAAGCTGGATATTGTCTTTGTTTTTTTTACAAATTATTCAATTTCCTCCCATTGCACAATTAAACTAATATTAGCTCATTCATTTCCTGAGCTACGGAATGCATCAGGTGATTAGAGAAGCACGTGTTATCTTTTATAGCGTCTGTTGTTACAGACCTGATGGAAAGATCCCATTCCCTGTATTTTAACTCCATTATGTATTCCATCATTGCAGTAATGATCGGTCTGTCTTTTTCTTACTGATCTGTTTTTCTGTTTCTTCTATGATGACACTGTGAAACAGGATGTTGTTACCTGTCCATTAATTCCTTTCCTCTTTCCTTAATCATTAATGAGGTGTATGTTTTCCTGCCATTATGGACTTTCCTTCCATTAGGGTTTAAATGCACACCTAATGCTGGTAAAAGCATTGGTAACAAATCATCCGAGTGCTCGTTCAGGCCCACCAAACTATCTTTGAGAGCTTCATGCTGCAGCCCTGAGTTCCTTTCGACGTGACATATTCAAATGCATTGTTCACCATCAGCTTTGGGTGACATTTAAGTTTTTGCCTTTTGAAATGCAAGGGGAGCCCCCCTCCACAACCCAAAGCGGTTTTTTTTTCTTTCTAGCATGCAAATCATTAATTTCCTAATTGTTGCAGACCACACCACTGGTTGATTTTCTTAACCAGCTGCTGTTTGATGTTTTTTTGGAAGCTGATCTAGGCCAGGGAGTGGATGAAACAGATTTTGGGTGCAAAGCCTCCCCAGAGTCCAAGTATCATGGGTGCTGTTTGGCTGAAATGATTTCTGCCTGACCTAGTTTTAAGTGGCTAACTGCATGTTTTGATGGTGTGAAGTCTTAACAAAGACATTTTATATGCAAGCTTGGAAGAATTTGATTCTTTGGAAATGCAACACAAAAGTTCAAAAGTATTCAAACCCCCTTCAGGATTTATTTTTTTCAAAGGGTTTAATCTGATGGAACAACGCCTATTTTTATGTAGTTGTTTCTATGTGTCTCTACAACTCTGAATATTTCATCATTTCTCTTTCTCAAAGCCGAGTTTGATGAAACGCATCTTAGATTAAACATTTTCAAGTTTCAATTTTCTATTTAGGTATGGACTTTGACTGGGCCATTTTTGCACATGAAAACACTTTGATCTCAACCACTTCCTGGTAGACCTGGCTTTATGCTCAGGGCTGTTGGCCTCCTGGTTAAGGTCTTCATCACACCTTAACCCGGTTAAGGTCTAAAGTCTTCATCAGCCTCTAATAGGACTCCTTCCTGAATTAAGCACCACCCATTTTTCCATTAACTATTATTTGTTTGCATGTCTCTGCTGAAGAGTAGCATCCTAGACAATGATGCCCCCACTGCCATACTTTGACATGGGAATGATATATTCAGAGGGATCACACGGCATAGTGATTTACACATAGGGAAAATAGTCTATTTTATTGCCGTCTGAGCAGAGATCTGTTTTTACATATTTGCTGTCTCTCTTAAATCGCTTCGGACAGACTGCGAATGGCTTTTATCTTGCTCTAGTTTCATAAATAACAGATTTGAGGCTATAAGTCCTGTCAGCAGATTCTTGCACCTAAGCTGTAGATCTCCATCAGGGGCGGTCCAAGCCTCGATTTGGCCCTAAGCAAGATTAGATTTTGGTCCGATGATCAGATCTTTCATTCACCCACTATAAATTCATTGCATCTCTGGCAGTGCTGTTTGTATGGATCATCTACTATTAACACAAGCAATAAAATAATCTAATATGCTGTTTAATAACAATAAAGGTGTGATGTGGTTTATACTTTTTGGTTTCAGCTGCCAACAGAAATGTGCAAAAATTAATTGTAATGCAAGAAGAACAGCAAACAAAAATAGCTTTGATGAAAAGGAATGATACATTTTATGAAGACAGTCATATTTAAATCAAATAAACTTTAAAATAAAGCTCTGCTTTCCAAAGATAAGTTTGTCTAATCTGCACGAGTCCTTCCTTGTCTGTTTTACTCTGGCCTCAAAGCCCATATATTTTTCATCTTCATGTATAATAATTTCTGCATATATTATTGAAAAAAATGATTTTTTTTTTTTTAATAAATTTACACAGAAGTTATTTTAAATGCAAAAATACCCTAAAAAATGAATTGTCCTTAAGGGGCCCTCAGCTTCAGCTTAAGTTATTAATGTCCTCTAGAATGAACACTTGCTTATTAGATGCATGTCTGTATTAAGTAATAGGATGACTTCCAGATACCATTTGGTGCTTTGGATTTTATTTAGGGGTTCCAAAGTAAAGAAGGGTGAATATAAATGCATCCCAGAAATTTAATACTTTACGGATTTTTATATGTAAAAAAACTTTTAAAAACTTTGTATTCTTTTCCATTTGATTCGAACCCAGTGGTTTGTATTGGCTTTTATCAAAACTGCATTTTTTTTTCATTAATTAATTTGTTCTTTTAAATTAATACTTCTACAAGGCACCGTATATGTGGAAAACTATATAAAAGTAATATTACAAAATTATTTATCATGCCAGATATTTCTGTGTACAAACTTCTGTTTAGTCTTTTAAAGTTTTCTGTCGAGCTGCAGTTCTGGATTTTCTACGTTTGTCAGATGAGGAAGATGCTATCTCTCGCTTGCAGCCATGCTTTTATGTTTTACAAAAGAAGCAGTCTGCTGTTCACCCACCTTCTCTTTTCTCTCTGTCTACATCTCACTGTTTCTCTCGCCTTTGTGTATACAGGCAGGCAGTTAGTGCAGAAGCAGGCACCATGTCCACCCCCACAAACCCAGAGGTGAAGGAACTGAACCCTGTCGACTTTATCCAGCTTCAGCAGTATATCGAATGTGAGTACAGACAGACAGGCAAGCAGGCGGCTTCTGCAGCGCTTAACATCCCTCCCCGCACACACTTCCACCCACACGTGCTCATTTACCCTCGCTCATGGTTTCTCATATCTAGAAGCACCAGTAGTCTACCGCTTGTTTTTTTTTTTTTTTTTGTATCTCAGTCATAAAAATATATGCTTATACTCTATTTAAATATATTTTAAAGTGTAATTTCAATGACTGCTCGCAAAGGAATCAAATTCTCATGAGTAATTACAGAAGTGCACATGTGTACATGCCCGTATGACCTCTGTGTTTCTGCTTCCAGACTGCAGCCTGAAGGTGAAAGACGTGCTGAGGGAATTTGATAAAGATGGCAGGCTGGCCCAGCACAGGCATGGAGAGGTGAGGGGACGGGGCGTCCCGCTGCAGTCGGTCGAGTCCTCGCCCACACTGATGTTAGCTGCATGGGGAACGAAATGATCAGAGCGAGCGCAGCTGTTTAGTGTGAAACGGCTCTATGATTCATGCATCTTGTCCGTTATTAATAATCCTGCGCTGCTTAATTAGAATTCCAACCTATCGATCATGCCGTTAAGCTGATGCTATTGAGCGAGGCTGCAAGTGTAAATTGCCTCCTTAGATTTGCCCACGCAGCAAGGCTGAGGCTGCTTTTCCTCATGCTGTGCAAACATAAACTTAAACGATGAAAGATCCTCTAATAATAGACGGTCCTGTTAACTAATCTGCATGTAAGCAAAGCTAGTAATTACTGATGAGGTACATTCAATTTAAAACTAAAATAACATTGAAGTAAAGCTTTTGCAATAACAGTAATCAGTAAATTCTGTTGAGGAAAAAAAAATACACCAACTTTGTTTCTATAGTTTCTTATTCTAAATGTTTATACCTGTAGAAAATAATGGGTCAACATGGGTGGTCTAATACATTGTTTTCCATGCTATGCAACTGAATAATAAAATGATTTATTAGGTATTGGTTATAGGGCTCTTTTTATTTTCTCTGCTGTTATTTTATTTTATTTTTTTGCTTGTACATTATTTCCTTTGTTTTTGGTGATGTAACTGCCTCGATGGAGTGTGAAGTGCCACCGGGGCAGCCCTGCAGCGTATCAGCTGAGAAAAGGGGAAAAACATCAACATGAAATGGGTTTGTGGTTCTCCACCATCAAGGGAATACGGCTTTTTTTGCCCTGCTGCATAATATCATGTGATTCCAGTCCATCTGCCAGGTCAAGGAGACGGGCCAGAATATTAAATCAGGAGATACTTTAAGTTAGAGCTTAAATCACCCTTTTTACACTTTGCAGGTTTTTTTATGCTACAAACAACAAACTTCAAGAATTTTTAAGACATCTGTACCTGATTAACTATGCAGTATTTCAAAAAAATAATCAGATGAGCAGGCAAGAGACCCATGGTATCTTTAGAATTCAGTGTATAGAACATGGATTAAAGGAAAATTAGTCAGGGGAACAAAATTGTACTTTGCAGTCTATATGCCAAACTTTTTTGGTCAGGAAAACTAATAATGTATACCAATAAACAGGACATCCCCAGGGGGCAATACGGTGATGGCAGCATCATGCTGTGGGGATGCTTTTATTCAGCTAGAGCTATATACACATTGATATGCAGGTAAATTTGCCAGAAGCTGCAAAAGACTTAAAGTCAGTGAGTAATTTCTGGTTTTAGCATTAAAACAGCCCTAAACCTCCAGGTATTAAAGCCATTAAATGTTTGATTGGTCCAATGATTATCTTCACAAACACTAACTGAGCTTGGGCTGTTTCAGATAAAAAAAATGGGCGAAGATTTTGGAGATATGCCCCAAGAGAAGGTTTAGACTCATGGGGACAGAATGGATAAACAAACCATAACGGTTAGTTTCCACCCAACAATTATGAACTTTAAATAAAACACACTGAGTTTGATGTTGAAGTCTAAAAAGATGCAGAAAGGCAGAAGCAGGCGAGGCGTATGGCTATTATCTGAGGCTTCATAAAGCTTTTTCACATAAACCACAAAGAGCCTTCAAACATGTTTCAGGGTTATTATTGTGATATGTTAGCAAGAAACTTTAGCAATATGTGATGATCTTCTTCCCTTATTTTAAGAGGAGTTGCATTAGAAAAAAGGAAGTTAACAACCCAAACACACAAGGGGAGTTACACGTTTTTTTTATATGCTTGTAAGCTACTAAACACAACTCATTCATTTTGCCCTAGTGTATCGATGAGGAAGGCTTTCGGCAGTTCCTAAAGACCTACCTAGAAGTGGACTTCCCCTCAGATCTCTGCCAGCGACTTTTCCGCTCCTTCCAAAACTCTGAATCCACCAAGGAAGACGGCACAAGTGAGATTATTCTGACATCGTGCATTCAAGCCACTCATTGCCTGCTCTTTGCAGCAGGCTCTTATCAATTTACATTAGGGCCTGTTTGGCGCAGAGTCATTTCTCCCTGGATGTCTGTTCAGGACTGTTTGTGTAGATATGGTAACCAGAGCATTTACAGCCTGCTCTCTTTCCTCCCATCTCTCCCATAGAGGAAGTCTACCTCAAGGATGTTTCATGTTACTTCTCTCTGCTGGAAGATGGCCAACCCAGGGACAAACTGGAGTGTAAGCCGTTAGTTTCTACTCTGGTCAGAAACAACGGGCTAGAGGTTCCACTTTCATTTCCTCTCTCTCTTTCCAGTTGCTTTCAGGCTTTATGACAGAGATGGCAATGGAGTCCTTGACAGCTCTGTAAGTTGCTTAATAAATTGTTCACTGTAAGTTCAAATGTCATAATTGAATCATATCAGGTGTAACTGACTTTTCTTTTACTCAACAGGAAGTAGATCGAATTATAGCTCAAATGATGCATGCTGCCGAATATCTCGACTGGGACGTGTCCGAACTCGAACCGGTAATTCCCAGAATGCAGAGCTTCAACCTGCAGATGTGCTGTTCATAAATTAACGTGTGCAAACACTTTGCAAATGGAGTAAAATTGCACACATTAAAGCATCATTACTTTTTTTATACAGCAATAATCAGAGTAAGAAGTTCTTTATGAAAAACTTTTAGATTTATTTAGATGACTAGTTTCAGGGGACACACAGTATTAAGTAAAAACTGGCTTCCATTCAGATTCAGGTGTTGCTTATTCTGTCACACTTAAATGTTTCATATCAATGCAGATAGCTCAGTTAAATACAGAAAGTAGATTTAAAAAAAATACTTCATTTATAAAAGGAACAAAAAAGTATATTACACTTTAGTCTTAACTATTGTTGAACCCTTAAATTATTCTTCCTTTTTTATATTAACAATGAATTTATTCAATCAGAGGAATTGTTTCTGGTAGGATATAAACAAAAACAGTGAGGTTTTCATCACTGTGGAGAAGTTTTTGAATTTAGCCTTATTGTTGTGTGTTTGGAATAAACGACCCCAGCAGTCACTTAACTCAGGACTCTGACTAGGCCATGCTGAAAACTTCTTTCTGTTTTCTTGGCCATTATGAGGACGACTTCCTGGTGGAACCTCCACATTGCTTTGGACTTTAGACAATGAACTGGTGGTCACACCTTCTCCAGGATATTTTCTTCTAGATGGTTAATTTGTCCATCCATCCCTGCCACGCTTATCCCAAGTGGGGTCAGGAGGGGTACTGGTGCCTATCTACAGCTGCCTAACTGGGCAGAGACAAACAGGACAAACAACCATTCATGCACACACTCACACCTAAGGAGAATTTAGAGAAGCCAATAACCTAACAGGCATGTTTTTGGAGTGTTGGAGGAAGCCGATTAATTTGTTGTTTGATGAATTCACATTACATTAAATCATTTACAATACTACCACCTCTTCAGACATTTAATCTTGATATGCATATTCCAGCTGCTTAGACAGTGAGCTGTAGCTGTGGGGAACGCAGCTCACAGAGGGCAGTCAGTGTTTACAACACATTTTCTAAAAAGACCTGTAGGGGGAGCGTGACTTGAACTGGACTTAGTTCTGCTTTAAAGGAGAACTGATTGTAACTCATGATACTGGAGTCTGCAGTAAGGTTTAAATAGTTTTTATTTTTGTTTAGATTTGACTTCTGACTAATTCTATATTAGTTTTGATTTTTTTTGTACTGTTATCTAGTTTAGTTTAATTGTTATTTTTGAAAAAGCCTAGTGTCAGTTTAGTTTTTATTAGTTTTAGTTATAGTTTTTCTCCTTTATGTAATACAACTTACAAGACAAAAATAAAAGTAAAGCAAATAAAATCCCAGATAAGGACAGATCGCTGCATCAACACTAATAAGCCAGATGTTGAACCTGCCATCTGCTGATGTACAGAGGAAAAAAGGGAAAACAGGAACCAGGAACTAGACCTCATATTAATGCTTTATGATAAAGACATAACAAAAATTTTTTTTTGCAATTTAAAAATGTTTTCCTTTTAATTAGCTTTGTAAACTCTTGTTACAGTTACAATTACTGTTATTTTTTTTTTTAAAGAAGTCTAAAGTTTTTAATTTTTTAATTTTAGTTAGTTATGAAATCGTTTTTTAATTCTAATTTTCATTATTTCCTTAGTTTAGTTATGGATAATAACCTTGGCCTGCAGTGCTTCGGATGTTGTTTTAGGTTCTCTTTTGAACCGTTGCTTATATAACCTTTACAGTTTGGGGGTAGTTTGCTTGGCTGTCCTCTGCTGGAATATCTTTTTTCTATTTTCTATTTGTAGGTAATTTAACTATCACAGACTAAGAAATGACTTTGTTTACCTTTCCAGAGTGACAGACAACAACGACTCCTTACATCCTTTTGCCTGCTTCATGTTGCCAGTTAGGTTCCATTTGAATGTGGTTCAACAGATTTCAGTTTAGTTCATTTATATAGTACCAATTCATAAAATATTTCATCGTAAGGTACTTTATAGAGATAGTTAAATCAATCATACAGACAATTAAATGTTTTCTATCTAAGGAAAGAGATCAGGCTTTTATAGGGTTTGGTTATACCTGTCAAATAGGACAAAAGTAAATTAGTTTAGCAAAATTTATGTTATTTATTGATTGATCACTTTGGTTTGAATTGCCCCTTCCCCCTGAATGAGTGAAAACTGTATTTTTTTCATTTATTTTGTCTATGTTTGTCTGATGATAAAAGGTATCAGATAAGATGAAGCATTTTTGTGTGAGAAAAGGGACAAAAACAGTAGGACCCTGTCACCCAGATACCTTTTCACAGCAGTGGTAAGCAGAACAGAAAGTAACGACTGAATCTTTTTTCATCAGGTACTGAAGGACATGATGACAGCGATTGATGCCGACTGCAGCGGCACAGTGTCTCTGGATGAGTGGGTAGAGGGAGGCATGAACAACGTCCCTTTGCTCGTATTGCTGGGTCTAAAGGTGCGTTTACTGCTGCAAGCCTCTTTTTTTATGTGGTTTGGACTCTGAAGGCAGAGCTGAACATGGTGGATTTTTACAGCAGGTGTTTAACTGTCAATGATCTGAAGCCCTGGCCTTGTATTGCGGCTCCACTGTCCTTTATCTCCTCCTCCCTGCCTCTAAGGGCCTTTATGCCGACTCAGTGTTACAGGGTGTGGTAATGTCATCCCCCCTCATGCAAGCCTTTGCACCATCATAATGCTGCTATTCTTTTTCCCACCTACTTCGCACCATCAAAGTTACAGCATAAATTATGAACTTTTTCAGGCAAAATTCTATATTTAGCTAAATGAAATATGTATATTATATATATATGTTTTGTAATACACTAGAAAACAATCATCTTAGCACAGTAACAGATCAGATTACTGCAGTGAGTCCTGTTTAATGCATTGCACTGAATATGAATAAGTGCTTTCTTGCTGCATCAACGTTAAACCACAAGCTAGACTCTGCCCAGTGGTCTCTAAGACAATGCGAGGGACTTCCCCTTTGGCTATTTCTAGCCACAGACATTCGAAGCCCGGGGTGTGGAAATTCATCCCCCTCACAGTCGCCGCTTGCTGCCCATTCTACCTCATACCGCGGATGATTGGCAGATACATTATGTCATTAAAAGAACGCACTTTAGTGGGCAATCTGCACAAAAGCTCTGGCTGCTCTTTAGACAGATTGAATCCAATTGCACAGCTGTGTTCATAAAATCACTGCAGTTAGTGTTGTATCTCAAAAATTTACATTGTGCTGCTGTGAATAGTGTCGTCAGAGTGGTTTAAATTTAACCTAAATAAGTGATGATTGTGACGAAAACTGATTTCTGAAATTCTGTTTCATTTGTCTATATATATAAATGGCAACAATTATTATAAAGTAATGCCAGGGAAAGCCAGACAAACCAAAGTCATATCCACTCACTGTCCAGGATTATCAAATCATTTAGACAGATTAAAATTCAATTAAAAACAAAAAATATATATTTTTAAAAAGGTTGCTGAGGTTTGAAAACCTTTACTTTTCTAGTCCAAAATTGCATGTTTTTTTTTTTTGTTTTTTTTATGATAATGAAAGCAATAACATTTTTTTCCCTTTTTGATTAGATGACCCAAAAAGACGGGCAGCACCTTTGGAGGATGAAAAATTTCAACAAGCCTGTTTACTGCAACGTGTGTCAAAGCATGCTGCTGGGTTTGAGGAAACAGGGGCTGTGCTGCACCTGTAAGTACCTGAACTCACCAGAAGAGGGCGATAATGCAGTGACACTTATAAAAAAAAACATAATCTTTTATTTAAATCGTTTGTTTTATTTATTTATTTATTCATTCATTTATTCATTTAGTTACTTAATTATTTATTTACATTGAATTAGATCTTTTTAAACAGAGATGACAAATGGTCAAAGCACATCTATTTTTCAAGTAGGTTGAAGGAAGCTTTCTGACATGAGATAAACGATTTGTTTTTTAATAATGTAATCCTTTTTTTTTGTTTAGTTTTTTTATGTTTCTAGTTTCTTTTTTATTAATTAATTCATGATTGTTTTTTTATTTATTTTTACTTGATTCTTATTTGTATTTTTTTCATCAGTTGTTTCAGGAAATATTCAGTTTGAATTACAGAAAAAAGAAAATGTTCTAAAAAAAAAAAAACCCAAAGTGTTTTTTTTTTTAACACTCACTCTGTGTGTCATCTTGTGCAGGCTGTAAATACACAGTTCATGGGCGGTGTGCTAACAAGAACCCAGCTCCCTGTGCCAGGACGTACGTAAAGTCAAAGAAAGAAACAGGGGTAAGCTGCCTTCTCTATCACAGTTTTATCAGAAAAACAACATAAAAGCAATTTGAATTGGACTTGATTTCATTTAATAAATACCGGTATATACTTCTTGCCTCCCACTTTACAGGTTCCAGTGCATGACTGGGTGAGTGGGAACTGTGATTCAAGAAAGTGTGATAGATGCCAAAAGAAGATCAAGAGCCTCCAAGGTTTAACAGGGAAACACTGTGTGTGGTGCCACACGATGGTAAGTAACCATCTTTCTGCATTGTGGCTTAATTTTTAGACTTTTGTGATCCAAACTGTTCAACTTCCAATTCAAATTCATAGTTATTTCTGTTAAAAACTAAAGATAATATTTTTATATATTTTTAATCTGCATTCAAAACTAAATCTTACATCAGTTATTTACTCCACATACTGAATTTAATTCTTCCCAAGAAGACATGTTTTAAAATCAAGTTTAACCTTATGCACCTCCTCATAAAACCAGTCAGGTGCTTCATTAGTGCATCAGATGTGCTTAACATAACAGAGCAAATATAACTAAGCTTTGGATTTGATCAAAAACTCTCAACTACGACAAAAAATATGTAACTGAAGTTATCAGCCACATGGTTTTGGTTTCCATGCTAAGGTGTATGAAGGCCTCCATGCCTGAAAAGCAAGATGAACCAAAAGCTCAAAAAGTGGTCATGTCCAGGTTTCTGCTCAGATTTTAGGCCTAAATATCTGCTGAATGTGTGGAGAAGAATGAACAAAGCCTGAGGTAAAGCACGGTTGAGACTGAGTGATGCTCTGTCACTTTTGTTTTTACTTTCTCTTCGACTGTAAACCTGCAATGTGTGGAGAACAAGATGGATTACATCAACATATCAGAAAAAATTTAGGCAGAAATGCTCCCTCTAAGGAACATGAAGCTTCCACATTGTTTGACCCTTTAGCAGCAGCTGACAGATAGAAAAACAACATGGCTGCAACACTCAAACATAATGTTTGAACTGGAGGTCTCCTCGTTTAAAGAGAACCACTTCCACTGATTGAAAATGCTCAGTGAAAAATAAACTTCTAACAAATCACAGAGGTTAATTTCCCTGGTCACGACTTAACAGATGAAAAGAGAAACCCTTTGACCACATTTAATAATTGTGTGTGAGAATAATACAAAACAAATAGGGGAAAGTAATTTTTATGAAACTGATACAGGATGTCTCTGACCAAAATGAGGCCAGACCCTTTTTCTACTCATCTAAGGAGAGGATATACATCTCCCTTAAACCAAGGATATCTGTTGACAGTATCTTCTCATTTTCTGAAATAAATGATGCCCTAAATCTTCCTTAGATACTTTGCAGAGGCCTGTGCTTCTTTGCCAGCAGTGAAAAAACAATCTTTGGCTATTTCATGCAGCAGGCCATGATGCTTAATTCTAATGTTTTTGCTGAAATCCACCTTTTTGTGCATGGTCGTTCAGACTGCTATTTAAATACAGCCACCATCAGACTCTAGTCCAAACGTTTCGCAGTAGAGCTATGTAGACGTCATACAGCAGCAAAACGTTTATGGAGATCATTACTGATGTCTGCATGTCTGATTTATAAGATGCTGAGTAACGGCAGTCGGTGCTATTAGACAAAGAAAGGTGATAAAAAAGAGAGCAGAGCGTTTCAGAATGTGCTTTTGTGAAGCCGTCACTGTTGTACTGCAGAAGAGTCTGTATTAATGAGTATTCAGGATATTAGGATTTAGAGTCAAATGTGGGGAAAAATAGGATTCGATCACATTTGCCTGCAGTGAAACCTGAAAATCTGGCTAAGATTTCAAGTGGCTGATTTCAGAGCCTTTTTTTTTTTTTTGGTCATTTTTTTTTTTGTCCAACCAAGAGTCTTCCTGACTAAAATCTGACTGAATCTTAATTAAAAGCAGTTTAGAGCTAAAACTATGACTAAGATCTCCATACTGAAACCAGACTAAAATGGTAAAGAAGTATTTCACTGCATTTTGAGTAAAATCCTTCTCATTCTTGTGGTTAGACTAACTGTAACACGGTTAAATATGAGATTTAATTTGGACGTGTCTCTTTAAATAATGTGATAAAAGAGAAGACAATAGATTAAACTATCACCAATGGTCTGCCATCCATTTCCCTGGTTTTATTGATGGCAGCTTATTTTCTTCAATTTTAAATTTTTTAAGTGCAAGATTTAAGAAATACTTCACAGGTAGTGTGGTATATCCATGCATGTAGTAGTAACCTGTCTTTTTACTAGCAGCTTTATCAAACCTTTCCTACCTTATTTCAGTCATTTTGAATATTTTTATCTCTAAATAAAATATATTTATCTTTGTCAATTTTTCATTTTCCCTTTTTTGTGTCCCTGTAAGTATGTTTTTCTTCTGTCTTTGCATTTTTAGCTCACTGTCATCAGATAACAATATGGTTCAAATGAGAGCAATTGTCCAATTGATTGTCTGAACATCATAGTGGCGCCCCCTCTAGTATATATATGAGAGTTTACTCATTTTTTGTGCCACTGGTAATTAGTAACCCGTTGATCATAACATCTGATTAGGTTTGTGAACATTTTTATTAAAAAACAGAGAAGTATAAAGATTATTTATCTGTGTTTATATATTTTTGCATTATTTAAAAGTGAGCTGTCAGTAAATGGAGTTGAGAGAAAGGGAGGACATGCAGCAACAAAAAAATCTTTAAAATGAATAATATCAATACCAAGCAATGAATCCAAGCAGGAAAACCAAATTTTTTGCATGATATTAACCTTTTGAATCCAATATTTGTGTTAGTTCAGATATTTACATATATGTTAGATTAAAGCAAAAGATTCTGACTTCACTTGGCCTACAAAAGGCAGAAGTAAAGTAGCTTTACATTAAAATAATATTAAAAGCAGAAGTAAATAGTTTTAGGCTCTAAAATGTTTCCTAGAAGTGGTTAAAATAAAATTAGCCTGGAAAATATAACTGGTTAAACATAACTAGTTACTGCTCATCTCAGGTTTTCAGCATCGTGAACATTCAGCGAACCAAACAAGAGAGAAATCTCTCAAAAGCTAAGCTGGATTGTGTTGGTCACGACCACACTGAGGTTTGATGTAACTCCTGTTTGTTTTCACCAGCGTCATGATGAATGTGCAGCCCTGGAGCCAACAGAGTGTACCTGTGGGACGCTCAGAGACCACATCCTGCCTCCATGGGCCATATATCCTGTAATAAAGGTACACAGTAACCCTCAGGCACATCTTAAGCACATGTACAGTACAGTCTGCACCCACGCAGATCAATACATCAGTTTGTTTTTTTTTCTGTTGTGAGTAAACACAGTCTACGTGAAGCTGTTTAATGCAGCTGATGCTTTCATAACGATAACATAGTCCTATTAAAAGCGTTCTGGTTGATTTACACATTTTCTCCCCAAAGGAAAGACCAAACAATGTAAAAAATGGCTGCTCAGGGTCTACAGATGACGACCTCAATATTACTCCTGACGGACAAGTGCTACAGGTAGTTTTCCTGATCGTACATCAATCTAATCTCTCAAACCTTTTTTTTTTCTTTTTTTTTTTAAGTTAAAAGTACAGATTTATTTTATTTTGATTTTATGGACTTCAAGAAAGTTTTTTTTCTTTAAGATATTGTAAGGATCATCACAGCTTCCATGTTGAAAAAAAGAGTAAAAACAGCCTTAATTCCCTATAGAATTCATTAGGTATTTTTGAATTGAACTGAATTGAATCCTATAACAGAAAATTGGAACAAAAGATGAAATATTATCACTGTGATCAACAGTACAGTAAACAGTCTTTGATTCTATGATCTGATGGTTTTGTGCCGTTTTCTAAAACCATTGGTCCAAATAGGGTGGTGATGGTTCTGGTTCTGGCTCTGACTTTGACTCGTCTGGTGTTTATAATATGCTGATCAGGGAGAGAAATTCCCAGGCCAAGTGCTTTCTGCCGTGCCGTGCAGTTCCCACACCTCTCTGCCATAGCTAGTGTTGTAGTATTTACCAACCGAGACCAATAAAATCCAAGACCTTGTCTTGGTCTTGACCTCTGAAGGTTTTGGCCTTGTCTCGGTCTCAGCACTCTTTGGTCTCAGTTGGTGGCGTCATGACTACAACACTAGTCGTAGTTCCAAAAAATATTTCCTAGAATAAAAAACTGTCCCTTTTTTTTTTGTGTGTGAAATTTATGGCCTTTATTTTCAGTAGATCAACAGGATAGGACCAGAGACAGAAAAAGGGAAGACATTAACCAATGTGCTTCACGTTCAGGATTCAAGGGCGAGAAATTAGATCCAATCTTAAAATAAAAAGTTTTAACTTAAAAAAATGCTTTTATTTTATTAACCACTCTTTTTGCTTTTGCTTTCAATATGGCCTTCAAAAGCTCCTAACCATTAAAGTTTGGTTGGTATAGCAAGCATTTTCAAAGAAAGAGAGACCCATGTCCAGTTCTTGCTCCATTGCCAGAGTTTTTTTTTTAAAACATAAGAATAGAAAATAAAACCTTAAAACATTAGAAAACTTCTTCTATAACACATTTGACAAAACCGTTTAAAGGAGTCATTACATGGAAATATGTATTTTTTCACTTTTAAATGTTCATGTTGGATCTGGGTTCAGTTAAAACCGAAAAGTCCAGTGTGAAAATGGCTTAGAATGTTTTCTTTTTTTAAACCAGAAAATCCCACAAGGGCGTGCTGGTCACACAGCAGGGTATTAGTCCTCCTCCTTGATTCACAGCATCATGGAAGGATGCTAAAAAAAAAAGACCGCCTTGCTAATACCTCTTCCATATCTTTACCAAAAAGCGGCGATTAAAACAATTAGGGATTACCCTTTACCTATTGTGTAAAACACTATGAAACAATGAGATATAAACCATAGCAAACAGCTGATATGGCTAATTCTATGTCCACACAGGAACACATATACACATATGTAAAATTCTTCAGTGTACCCTCCTGAGGAAAAGAAGGTGTCCTCTGCTCTAATTATTTATTTGTTTTTGTCCTAAGAATGATTAAATATTAATTTAAAGATTATCTCAATAGGACTGCAAATGTAAAATAACAAGTCAGAATTGTATATTGTGAGTAAAACAAAATGAAATAATTGCAATATATCTTTGAACTTTTCTTAAAAAGATCCCTGATTCTTGTGGCCCTTGAGTATTTTGAAATAAATTATGAAACGTTTGAACATCTCTGGTGCAAAGACTGGAGACTTTTACATGTTTAAGTTTGTAAAATGTCTCAGATCAATCCAACTGGACAGAGAACATTTTTAAAAATCACTTTTCAACACTAGCCACAGATTGTTAATTGGATGCAGGTCTTAACTTTGACTAGGACATTTAAACTTTTTTAACTTCTTTAATCACTTCTATCTAAACCTGTGCGCTGTGGCTCTTAGAGTTAATGTCACGTTACCCAATCTTGAGTCTTTTTGCAGCTTCTCTGAAAGGTTTCTATCCCCAGATTTCCCCGTGTTTTGCTCCATCCATTTTCCTACGAGTTTTGACCATTTTCTCCGCTGAGGAATAAAATCTCTCCAACATGATTTTACTGCGGTGATGCTGTATTTCAAATTTAACCTCATTTATACTGAGATTAAATGACATGCAGCTGAAATCTGACCCATTTGTTAATAAGGTGGTGAGAATTTTATTAATCATTATCAGAGTAAAGGGATTTAATTACCATTGCATGTCATACCTTCAACATTTTTTATTTTGTTTAAAAAAAATCATATTTTTATACTTTGTGTTGGAAAATATCATATGAAATCCTTTCAAGTTGTTCAAAGTCTTGACAAAATGTGGAAGGAGAACTAACACTTTTCTCCAGGAAGAGTAACGTGTAAAATAACTTCTGTAGATTGAGTTATATTTTAATTTATCTGTGTATTAAATTTATCAAATGTTTACCAAACAGATCAGCCCTGTGCCAAACACTCATCCTCTTCTGGTGTTTGTTAATCCTAAAAGTGGTGGCAAGCAGGGAGAAAGGTGAGCTCCAAAAATGTATGACTTTATAATAAGAAACTTCAATTTGATCACAGTGTTGAGCTTGTTTTGTTTTCCTTTTATATTTCAGAGTCTTGCGTAAATTTCAGTATTTGCTGAATCCAAGGCAGGTGTACAACCTTTCCAGTGGCGGCCCTGGAGCGGGGTGAGTAATTTCAGACTGTATTCCTCAGCCTTGTTTTCATGTCCTGCTTGTGAAGTTCACAATATCATCTGAATTTCAGGCTGAGTTTCTTCCGAGACCTGCAGGACTACAGAATTTTGGTGTGTGGTGGAGATGGAACAGTTGGGTGGATTCTGGACGCAATAGGTTAGCTTATTGCGGGAATCTTTTTTCTTTACTTAACAGATTGCTTTTACGCATTTCCTTTACTTTGCCCTTCTGTACTTTTCTTGCAATCAGATAAAGCCAATCTGCCAGCTCAACCTCCTGTTGCAGTGCTTCCTCTGGGCACAGGAAATGACCTTGCAAGATGTCTGCGTTGGGGTGGAGGTGAGAGCAGGTCCGTACTTTACAAAAATGCGTAACATTTATGCACAGGAAGTAACTCCGTGTTTCCTCTGTATTTTTTTTCTTTTCTGCAGGATATGACGGTGAAGATCTGGCTCGTATTCTGAGAGACATCGAGAACAGCTCTCCGATGCCGATGGACCGCTGGAACGTGCAGGTTATACCGGATGAGATCCAGGAGAAGGGTGATCCAGTGCCCTATGAGATCATCAACAATTACTTCTCCATTGGAGTTGTGAGTTTGCCAGAAATGTGTCACACAAGGGGAAGTAGGTCATTAGATTCTATGTTGTTTATTCCTGTTTTGTGTTGCATCGGCAGGACGCCTCTATTGCACACAGGTTTCATACAATGAGGGAGAAACATCCTCAGAAATTTAACAGCAGGTAAACCCACTCACAGTCATAAAAGCATTGTTAAAAAGAACAAAACAATGCAATGTTGGTGAACAGCGTCTTCAGGCTGAGCAGCACAGGTGTTTACAGCAGCTGCAGCTGTGTCACCTCAAGACTTCTCTTCCTGAGAGACGAAAAGCGCCAGTTACACCTAAAAGACACACTTTTTTTTTTAAATCTGCAGAATGAAGAACAAGCTGTGGTATTTTGAATTCGCCACTTCAGAAACCATCTCTGCTTCCTGCAAGAAACTCAGTGAAAGTTTGACAATAGAGGTGAGCACGTTTCACCAGAGGCACCTGGATGGGCGTTTTTTTATCTTGTAGATAACCGCTGCTAATCCCTCTTTCTCTTCCTCTCTCCATCAATTTGTGACCTGCAATTGTTTTACCAGTGCTGTGGCACTCCTCTAGACCTCAGCGCTCTTTCTCTGGAGGGGATTGCTATCCTAAACATTCCCAGCATGCACGGTGGGTCCAACCTATGGGGGGAGACCAAAAAGGCAGATACTAAGGGCCAGGCGAGTCAGGAAGAGCCTGACGTAATTATCAACCCGGAGATCCTGAAAGTTACTTCTCAAGGTAATTTCTAATAGACAGCATCAGCTGCACTGAGTAGTGAAGTAACCCTCCCACCCCCCACCATGTGACTAGAGTGCAATATTGAGGTTCTTTGCTCTGCAGAACCCATTAGCTAATTGTTTTTAAGCAAAGCCAAATCCAGATTTCCTGATTGCAGCTGCTATCAGTTAAAAAGCTCATAAACTGAACATCCAGCACAGACACAACAGCAAACCACAAACTGACTAAATCCCAGTAAAGCTCGCCTGCCTTAGGGCCTGTTCTCAATTGGCTGCATGTGAAAATACAAAAAACAGACACACCAAACCAGCTCTATACCACCAAATAACCAGCTGGATAGGTACACCATTTACGTATTTTACTGGAAAGCTCTTTTCTGTTGTTGGAGTTGATTTTCCCTTTATTTTTTGCTGCCAGAGGCAGGTGTACATATACATAAAAAGCCTTCATCAGTAGTGAGTTTCCACCCACATCACTTAATTGCAGTCAGTAAATCATATCCTGCCTCTGTAGAGGCCGCAGAGGATCCCTCTCTCCATAATGCAGACAGTGATCGGTACATTTTGTTTCTGATGTAATTTGTGAAAACAAGAAAGCTTTTGTCAGCAGCAGCAGATGTTTGTGTTATTCTCTATTCTCATAATTTCAGACGTTCTGCAGAGGTGCTAAAGTTAGCATCAGGGCTTAAAACTACATGGACTTTAATTAAGCTTTATCTTTCTTTGTCCTGTTAGAGGCGGGTAGTAACTGGTTACATCTACTCAATAACATTTCCTTCAGTAACTTCTAGGGATAAATGTACTTTATGTATTTACTGTAGCTTTCACTTTAAGTAATATCCTTGTGAGAGCATTGCTGCTTATATAAATTTCTGGGTATTTGACCCAATGTGTGTCACCTGACCTATTCAGAGTTCAATCAAATAGAAAATAAAATAAAAAATAAAGTAAAAAATCTAATTTTGTAGATGTAAGTTCTTTATCCTACCCTTAATATACATGCATTACCTACTTAATTTTATGAGTTTATGTTTTCAAACTTATTTGAAAAAATGTTTCTTTTGAGCAATTTTTTTAGTTAATTAATTTGTAATCATGTTATTTATTCATATTTGTACTTTATCTCATTCCTTTAAAATACCATCATCTGCACTTTATTCTGTATGATTTTAAACATTAAATCAGATATTATGAGCCAGCATTTACTCCGTACTCGAGGAGCCATTTTACTAACTGCTTTTTTAATTTAACTTCGATAACCTTTTGAATAACTGCTTTTTTAATTTTACTCTAGTAAAATGTTAAAGCAGTGCTACTCTTATGTGCTTACATTTTTCTAGTTACTGCAATCACCTCTATTAATGATTAAATGGATAAATGTCAATAGTTTGAAATAAGTCAAAAGAAAAAAAAAACAACCTTTGCAGTCAGTTGGATTGGCATTCATTCTGCAGAAACCTCTCAATACTCCTTTTTGGCCACTTGAGGGCGAAAGAGACACTCTTTTTAACCTAACATCCAGCTTTCAGGTTTACTTTAGCAGGTTATGGCCACTTTAACTGGTAAACCTGCTGCAAAGGGGTTGGACACCCAGTTTTCTTCAGGACTGATTTAGTTCTTTACAAGCATTAATTCAATGTGGTTCTTGAAACTTTCCTTGGGATTTTGGTCCATATTGATACGAAAGCCTCAAAATCTGCAGATTCTGTTTCACATTCAACAACATCCCATGGATGCTGTGTTGGATTAAGATCTGGTGACTCTAGAGACCTTCAGAGTACAACAAAACACTGAAGTAATATCTGCTTCATGTCAGTGAATGTATTTATGATAATTTGTGTTGGTAAAAGTTTCAGTTTAAAATAAACAGTTTTAACGTTATACATGGGAGTGAAAACCCCTTTTATTTAATCCCTTCAAAGCAGGAGGAAAGTGCTACTGTGAGGATTTGAGACATTTTTACAAATGTTGATGGATCAATGCTTCCAAAAAACAGCTGCAGTTGTGGGTCGACCCCCATCTGCAGTGGTCAGTGTCAATTACAAGCAGTGTTGAACTGGAGACGGACTGTTGGCCAGCTAAGGCTGATGTTAATGCAGAGCGTAGGCTGGATGCAACAGAAGAGTCACTGTAGCTCAAAGTTGCAGCAGAAAATAATGCAGATTTTTGTGGAAGAGTTGAATAAAACAGTGCATCACTTTATGTTGCTGCTGACCAAATAGGGTGTCCGTGCCTTTCTCTGTCTATCACCACAATGGATCTGATGGATAGGATCCTTATATTATAGGATAACTTTCTTTACCATAAGGATCGGTGACTTTTACAGTAAAAATACAATTTTTCCATTATGTCACGCTAAATGAAACCTTTTTAGAGCTCCATTGGTTATATGACCTTTTATTTAAAGAAAAACAACAACTCATAATTAATGATAAATACCTACCAGAACTGTAATTTTATTTATGGTTTAAGGTCCAATTTTAAAGAGAACTCAAACACTGTCCAACTTGCAAGAGAAGACATTTATTTAGGTTTCATCATACATTCATCAGGCGAACATTTCTGGTTTATGAGAAGCCATCCTAAATAAGGTTGAGGCTTTTTGCAGACGCCTGCTTTAACACAGACCATCTACCTGACCATTGCTGCAGACCAGCCTTTCATGGCTTTGGCCATGATATGGCAAACTAAAAACAGTTTAGAATTGTTAAAGAAGCAAGATAAATGCTTCAGATGTCCAGTCTTCAAATGTCCCAGATCACATTCATATCAAGCATCTTAGGGTTTTTCTGGACAATCCAGTTTGAACCAAGAAGGCTCCACCTCCCAACTTATAGATCATAAATTATTAGACTTGTGTTCATAATGTGTTTTTTTTTTCTTTTTCACTGATAAAAAACACTTAATCTGGATTTTGACAAAACTGAGCTGATCTTTTCTGTTTTCAGACATCAGTGACCGCCGACTGGAGGTGGTTGGCCTGGAAGGAGCAATGGAAATGGGACAGATATACACCGGACTCAAAAGTGCTGTGAGGCTCGCTAAAACTTCACAGATCACCATCCGGTATGAACGAGTCTCCTGTTGTTTGTCAAGCCTAAAATCCCATAGTGAGAACAGCTCATAGTTAAGGTAGCCACAGGTGAAAGAAGCTGCTTTACATTTATATAAGCATTGATGACAGCTCTTTTTAGTATCGTAAGTACATAAATGAATAATAATGGCTCCATGCAACCTGCTGATGTTCCTGTGTTTCACACCCAGGACAAAGAAACCATTGCCAATGCAAATCGATGGAGAGCCATGGATGCAATCTCCCTGCACGGTAAATAACACTTTGAAACATCCTTAAAGCTGTAGTGAAGCAGGGATTTCTGATACTTCTTTAAAAGGGTTAAATAACGACATCTACAGTTTAATATCTAAAGATATACTAAATATGTCCTAAATATTTTCAGATTTTACAGATATTCATTCATTTCTTCACACAAACACTTTGATTTTTAAGAAATGTATTTTATTAAAGTTAAATATAAGTCAATGATTTGGCAAATAGAATAAGATTTTTGCTATTAAAGTAAACAAAACTCCCTCCACATTGTCCTTTTCCCGAATGTATTTGTCTAAATGAAGGGAACAACACTTATTTCAAGACATTTTGGCTAAATTTTAAATACATTTTTGAAGGGTTTTTGGGGTTACAAAGTCTTTAAATATTTTGTATTTTAAAATTGATATGCTTTTATAAAACATGCAGAAAACTTAATCTCTACATTAGCTTTACAATGTTTGATTTAGTTTGTCTTAACCACAGGAGGTTTTACATTTTCTGTTGTTTTTCAGATTCATATCACACACAAGAATCAAGCAAGCATGTTGATGGGTCCTCAAGCCAAACCATCAGGTTTCTTCAAATAAAACTGACTCTCTTAATGCATGTTTACTCTATAATCAGGACTGACACTTTTTGATATAGAATCAGTGTATGATCTAGTATATTTGCATTATCAGAAAGAAAAAGTGATTTAACACACATTTCAAGCATGGCTTCATATGAATACAGGCAGAATTGTAAGCTATGTTTGGATCGTGGCCAAAAGAATCTTGACCAAACTATCTCAGTGTTTTAGTTTTACTCTCCACTCCTGCTCTTTCTAATCTTGACAGTGGGTGGAGGTGCTGCTCTTTAGACACCTTAATAAAGTTTAAAGTGGCTATGATTTTAAATAGGACAGCTATTTGGCTTCATGTGCCTTTTCTATCTGTTCTGTTCTGATTAGATAGAATTTCTGTGTATTTTTGCACTTGGAGCGTTGACCATGTAGTATTCCAGCTTTATTGTGGCTGTAAATTTGCTCTGAAATGTATGTCATTCAAGGAAAAAAAAAAGGTGCAGAAACAAACTCCTTCATTTCAATTTAAGGCTTAAGATATTTTTTTAAACTAATTTCAGAGATACTTGAAAGTGTTTTTGGGGGAGCAGAAAAGCAAGCATATTTTTGTTCCTCTGTTTTCTAATTTTATGTGGACCAAATTTGGTTTGTCTGAGTTTTAATTAGAGCAGAAAGTTATTCTTTTAGAAACTTCAGTAATAATCAGCACACATTCTTTTCTGAATGTGTTAAAGTTATAGACTATTGAGTGGGGCTATTTATTAAAGTATATAGTCTATTTAAATGCTTTATCAGCTGTATGATTTCAGTATATAAGCAGAATGTAAAAGTAATAACTCAATGTAATCATAATAAATTGTCTGGGCTTCAGTTTGTGTTGTGCTTATTTTACATCTATTCAACATAATGCTGTAATTTACCCATTTCACCTCAAGGGGGCAGAATTCCCCTTATGTATGTATCAATGAAATGCTTCTTTTTCTATGTTAAATCAAGATGTTGATAAGTTTACTCAGAATTGGTTGATTTATGGTCCCATTACTCTTTTTTTCTGCTCGAGATTTTCCAGGATAACTAAATAGCCCCTTAATAACATGTTTTATCACATCAAATCATAATAAAGTATTAAAAAACAAAATCAATTTAATTATACCTTAATTTCTATTTTTTATTTTTATTTTATTACATTGGGCAAGGTGTACACAAACAATATGATCATAAATGGAAATGATAAAAGCTCAAATCTGACTTAAAGCTTCGAGTTATAGAAACGTCTTTAGCTGCTTTTTAAAGGTCCTGTATTATTCTATATTTAAAAATTTAAAATATCAACAATAAGGCCCCCCGGGGAATGATTTTGTGCAGAAACATTTCTCTGAGAGTAGGCGGAAAACCTTTCCCATATATAATCGTATTCAGCCCTCCTCTGGCTGAGTTGTTGTGGCTTTCCATTGCCTTGTCTTACCAAAGGTCATGCCCCCATCAACCCGTCACCATGACAATCAGTCAGAGTTCGTAAAGATAACATAGGAGCACAGAATATTACAGATGAAGGCCGTAGCTTGACCAAACGGCTGCTACAGACCACCCTGGACAGCTTATTTCCCCTTATGACATCATAAAGGGCATGGTTTTCAAGAAGATACATTAGATAAGAGGTCAGGAAAGGCAATAATATAGGGAAATGGGTTTTTTTCTCACCTATGACTGTTACAGAATATTTATGATGAGAATTTTGCATAATATGGGACCTTTAAAGTAAACACATAAAAAAAGCTGCGAGAGCTTCTGTCTTCTTGTTTTCTGAAGCAGGTGTTTTGGGAAAAACTACAGTGACCTCAGACAACCAAAGCTATGTATTGAAATCAAATCAGAAATATAGAAAGGAGCCTGTCTATGTAAAGCTTTGAAGGTTGACACAAAAATGTAAAACTGAAATCTAGATCTAATTGGCAAACAATATAGTCACTTTAAAATAGAGATTTTCTTGTTTAAGGGAGCCATTCGAATAACAGTTTTGGTTAACCTGAGAATGACATAGTTCCCTAAACAACAAGGAAACAGACCATAATAATAGTCCACTCATTTAGAGACTGAAGCACTATCAACCATCTTGAGTTCACTTGTTCACACAATTTATCTATGCTTTAAGAGGATAAAGCAGGATCTTAATACAGTATATGTTTTAAATGATGCTACACAAATAAAAGCTTTTTAGGTTATGCTGCTAGTGGGAGAGCCCTAAATCAAACAGCTGCTGGTTAATGTCAGATCTGCTGCTGTCCTCAATTATTATGTAAACGATGAGTCAGTGGATCATTCGTCCAATTTATCTAAATATAGATTGTCTTAGTTAATTGACATAAATCAACAATTTTTTTAAAACTAAAAATAAACAAGTGCAAATCTTAAATGCATTAAAAATGTAAAAAAAAAAAATTAAGGCACAAAAAGCAAAAGTTCAGAATTCAGGATAAAGCATATTTACACAAACCTTTTTTTTTTATCTTAAATGCAAAAGGTATATGTTTTTGTGTTTAATGTGTTTAACATAATAACTTTTGTTTTCAAGCAAATTACATGCTTTAGAATCTAGTTACCGAGTGATTGTCTTCTAAATTGGTCGACAAGTATTTCAGTAATTGACTAATCAAAATCCAATCTTTTTTTTTTGCCCTAGACCAGTGCAGAAAAAGTAAATAGAGATTCTGTTTTGTCTGTTTAGCTGTTTGTAGTTGTTATTCTACCACTGTCTAAATTTGTAGAGATGAGTAACATCAACCAATTGCTGAATTATCTGACTTGAGAAAAAAAACATATATCACAACAACAGCACTGGGAACAATAGTTCCCAGTGCTGAGCCCTGAGGAACTCCTGGTAGAATTGCTATATGTTTCAATGTGATTTGGTTTGCAGACACACTAAAAGTCTTGTGGGAGATTTTATTTTATTTTTTTTTAAACAGGCCCAGAGGGGAATTCTTAAGGCATATTTTTGTAATTGTTGCAGTGAAACAAAAAGTGTCTTTGTTATTGAAAAGATTATGCGTTTTTTTAAACACATTTCTAAAAGCAAACAGTCTAAGCCTTGCATGTACAAATACAGGTCTTTCAATTTAATATGATACACTACTTTACTATGACGGTTACATTAAATAGTACTGCTGTTCTAAAAGCATTTAATTCAATCTTATTTTTAAACATAAAGCTGACAGTCTCAGCCATAAAACCAAAACTGGACTAATCAAATTAGATTTGGTAATTAACAAGCATAATCTGTTTGCGTCTTCATTTATAAATGCATAAAGGATGCTTTTATTCCTTTGACTTTTTAACTCACAGTATTTATAAACAATATACTGTACTTTCAGTTTGACCTTGGTCTAAAATTTGTTTTTCACATCAACCTTTAGTTTAAAACACTGTTTGTGTAACACTTACACATGTGGCCACCAGAGGGTTCTGTCAGTCACTCAGTCCTCTGGTTGTTACATAAATTCAGGCCTGTGGTTTTTTTTGCCTGTTTAGTACAAAATAGTGGCGATGAGGGCCCTGCTCCAATTCTATTCCACAGAAAAGACAAGAAACCATTACATCCAATGACTTTGCAGTTTCTGTTTCTTACATAACACAGTCTCACACCAAAATATCCCAACAGCTTCATTGGCACTCATTCTTTTCTTAAAGTTAAGTACTATTTAAACTCTCGCCTGAATAAAGTACTATCAAAGATGGGAGTTTTTCTGGGTCTCTACTTCTTACAGTGTTTACATGATCATATATCATCAGTTTAATGTTACAATAGGGCCAACAGAATCTAATGGATCTAACATTTTCCTACTTTAAAGGTAATTATAGATTATTTATCGTATTTTCTACTAAAATAATTTGACCTGTTTTGACACATTTATGCTGTGGAGCATATTGTGAAACAACTGTGCCCAAATGAGGTGAGAAGTGAGAATCAACATAGCTGTCAGTGACTTTACATTTTTTCTTTGCTGATTTATGCAGACTTATGTATCCACGATAGGTGCCCAAAGTATTTGTCTTAACATTTCTTTTATTTCATCAAGAAAAAGAAAATGTAAATAAACAATCTGTTTTGTGTATACATGTAAACAAGAAGAAGTGATATTGCTTATATCTTTCTGCTTTACAATATAACCTACAATTGCAGTCTTTTTCAGGTCTACATTTATCCTGTAAATGAAACTATGGAGAAACAATATTTATGTAACCACCAACAGGTTCTTCCACTCATTGTTAAATATTAAATCACATTTTCTTGTGCTGCACACTTTTTCCCCTAAATATGATAAAGGAATCTCATTGATAAATTATTCTCTAGGTTCTTTTTTACGATAGCCTATCATGTAAAACTGGTCCCTAAAATTTGTGATAAATGTTCTTTTAAATCAATAATTGCTTATTTTATATAACATAATTTTTTCTGTCAATGGGTAAAATTAATTTCTCTCAAATCGCCCTATATCAGTGGCAGTTCTACAAAAATTTAGTAAGGAGGCCAGGGTGGGGCCGGCATGTTTTAATGAGGGTACCGAAAAGCATGTAATAATAAACTGGGCAATATTCTATCACTTTAAATATATCAGGAGAGCCATAAAACCAAAGAGCCAGGTGCAGCTCTGTACTTAATGATATGAAATTTACACCTCATTTAGTTCAATTAAAACGTATGTTGTTAAAATAAAATTTGTGGGGGGGTTTTTTGTTTAAAAATCTTAATTTTATTTACTTAAAATAAAATAAACATCTTTTACCAGGATCAGAATAGACTACAATTAGTTGTTAAATTAATATTAACTAAAATACAAAATACAGCTATTCTTTGGAATATAATCTTAATGTACATTCAGAATTCAAGAAAATTACATATTTTTGATAAATTTTGAATAAAAAATGTATTCAAACTGGGATTTAAGTTTAAATATGATTGACAATCAGCTGTAACAAATGTGACTTTAAAAAAAATTGTTTAAAACGATATTTTAGCAGATAAAAGTTGTGATCTTATCTCTGTATCATTTAAATTATCTTAATTTAAGGCCAAGACATAGTAACCTATCAGTCAGTAAATCCCTGCAAAACACATTGTAGCTTTACATGAACAACAACACTCGTTGTCTCCTGAGTTGTAAAATAAAAAAAAAAGGCAAACGGCCGAGGCGTCCCTGAACGCACCGCTGTCTCCGCCTCCTCAGCCTGTTGAGCGGCAGCACTGAGAGGAGACGCTCAGAAGTTTCACTCAACTCCACGTTGAGGCTCAAACATTCATCTCAGCATCTCTTTCCGTCAACTTGTTCCACGCTTCTATTTTTCTTTTTGTATCGGAGAAGCCACGGCTCGGGTTCTCTCGTTATTCCCAAACAACAATGACTTTCAGGAGGCTGAGGAAGGTGAACTCCAGCGGGGTGGACGGAGGACCCGCATCCCAAGACAACGACATTTATTTCCCTTCGTCAAAGTCGGACAGCTGCAGGACGCTGGAGCTCCCGGCCAACTCCTCGGAGGTTTATAACTACAAGACCCTGGCTTACTCTGGAGGGACGCTGCCCAGAAATTTCAAAAGGGTAAGAATACAAAATATTTATGCATTTTTATGTTAACAGTGTTAATTTTTTTAAATAATATTTACAGTTGTACTTCCATTTAAATTATTACCTTATTTACTGAAATAAATATTTGTTTTTATTTAATTGAATTATTAAAATCTTATAAACATTTATACTTGTTCTTTTTTATAACTGTATTGAAAACATGTTCAGACCTGCTGCCATTTAGGACACAGCAGAGACGGTCCAAGCCCATATGGGGCCCCTAACAGAGTTTATGGGGGCCAGGAGGCTTCCAACCATCTCAATTAAACTTACCTCTGATCAAATATTTTTGCAGTAAGCATCTACCCACTTCTGGATATTCAAAATAAATAAATGTGTTTTGTATTTTGGTTTGAAATGGAAAATTCTGTCATTTTATACCATAAGCTCTGAAAGCAAGGTTTGTTTTGGTTACCTGCTTTGACCTTCACTTTAAATTAGTTTTCTAAACCTTTTAAACAGCGATAAATGCATGTGGTGTACCTACGCTTCTCATATTATCTACCTTTAATGCTTCTAGTAAATATGTTAGTGTTCATTCAGAATGGGGTCGCTGATTGTTTTTGATTCAATGAGAGTATTTTCTTTGACCGTTAACTACCATAATCAGAAATAAAGGAAGCAATCATGATCAGTTGATATTATTTTCAGAATATGCAGCTAAAGTTAATTAAATAATTGCTCAAATGTTTTTTTTTTTTTTTTTTATCAATAAGTTATTAAAAAAAATAATGTAACTTGGTTGGTGAAGGACATTGTTGTTGGACAGAATGTTTTATGGTTGTGAAATGGAAAAATGCTGGAGTTACCTGGTCTGACATCATGGTGAGATCATTTAACTTCAAAAAAAGTTATTTATTAGCTTTAATTGATACATTAATCTTAATTCTGATTAAAGCTGGGGATGATAAAAGAGTTGATTATTTTTGTTTCAATGATCAGAAAACACCCAGTTGATGATAACTGTAAATATTTGTATTAATCTGCAGGGTTTTAATGCAGCGTAAATACCCAATACTACAATTGAAACTGTAGTTTAGTAACTTGTGCAGCACTAATGGTCACTAAATTAATCACAAAATCAGTCTGACTGGTTTAATTTACATTCAGAATTTTGGATACTGTCGGGCAAGTAGTTTTGTTCTTGATGTAAAAAAAAAAAAAAAAAAAAAAGCTGAGCTTTAGTGGGCTTGTTTTTTTTTGTGGGGGGCAGTTCCTTTTGTTTGATCTAGATCTTGATCTAGATTAGAATGATAAGCATGAAATATGTGAGTCAAATGCAGAATCTCTTTAAGATGTGATCTTGAAAGGAGTTTGCTGCTTTTTGTGGTTTTAAAAAGAAACCAGAGTTTAGCCTAAGACAGCTGAACTCATCTTCCTCTAGTTGTCATGATTTGAAGAATCAATACAGTTTAAAATTGCTTACAATTCTTCTTCTACTCTGTCCAATAATGACACCAGTGGCGGTTTAATCCTGGTTCTCGGTTCTCTGGCTTTTTTTTCCCCCTCTGGTTGCAGAACTGCAACATTCTGCAGAACGCAGCCTGTTTTCGCAGCTCACTGTACAGCAAGAGTTAGGAACCCCACCCTCCACCAGTAGCAACAGCGCTTCATTGTGCACCCTCCTGGACGGAGGGACCCCCGTCAGGTCCACCCCCGCCTGCTCCATGTGGGTACTTGGGAATAAATGCACTCATTGAGACAAGTGCTGGACAATTCTGTAAGTGTTGGGTCATAAAGAAAAGCAACATTTTACTGGGCAGAGAGCTTCTGGCACAAAGCGGGCTTTGATAGGAGCAACACTGAGGTGGAACAGAGGAGGACTGATTTTAGGTGTTTTAGTTTTTTCTTTAGAGGAAGCATTTGGTAAAGCAGGGACCTGACCTGCTGCTGACTTTGGTTTGTCTCTCAATGCTCTTATTGTAACCCAGTGTTCACCACAGTGTGTTGCGTGTTTCTGTTAATAGCCTGGAGTTTGTGTGAACAGCTCTAAATGATAATGTTCAGACAAATCAACAATTTATCGGCCCCGGGGCTAAATGATCTGCTATAAAAAGTGAGGCCAAACTTAGCCGTAAACAGATCCAAAGTAAACAAAAAGCAGCACTGGCTGCATGTCTGGTTTCAGTGACATTAAAGCATAATAGATCACTAATATAGACACAAACAGGTCTCTTGCCAAGCGCGTGCCACTGAAAAAAAAAAACCTGATGAACCAGTCGCAGAGGTGATGCTTACAGTAAGGTGTGTCCTGCACATGATGGAGAGGGGAAATCCTTCGTGAGTAGTCTTCACGCAGGTGTCTCGAGATGTTTCATGTTTGTTTTCGTTTTCTCCTCACAGGGTGAGAGCTCACGAAAGTGGAAACCCCTAACGCAGCCCCCAGAACCACAAAGGTACAATCTCCTAAGTTTCTTCTTCATTATAAGTCACTGTTTTGTTTTTGTTTCTCCCTCTGATGTCATGACTACGTCTACCTCATGTCAGAGTCGGCACTGATCACTCAAACAGCGACTTTTTTTCTTTCTATTTAGGCAACCTGTGAGGTCATTAAAGGATTCTGATTAATATTTAATGTTGTTTGCTGCTGAAATGTCCAGCGCTGACGTTTTACAGTCTGACAGATCATTGTGCTCTGTGTCAGAGTGACGTCCACAAGCTGCTGGGCACAGAGGGCATCCTGTGCAGCCAGAGACACGCTCTCTTATGCATTTCAGATAAAAGCATCAGTTAATCCACAATGGCCTAAAAGCTTCTTGAACTTTTCCAACTGCAAACTTAAATTCATGATATTTGGAATTCATGTGAACAACAGAATGCAAGGCATTATTTTGATGGATGAATAGATACTTTGGAAAATAGACTGAGAACTCATGGATGTGAGGTTAGCCTCCCAGACTAACGTTTTTTTTCTCTACTTTATATAGCTTTATTATTTTGAGGTATGTCACCACCTGCATGGTGCATCTCAAATATTTGCCCATCCTTCTTTGTAAATCATGCTCCGGTGTGAGGAAGAACAATTTTAAAGCATTGCATCAGATCATCAATTAGATTCAGTCCTGGAGTTTCCAACCATTTCATTGTAGCTCTTGCTGTATGTTTATGTTGGTTATCCTGCTACAAGTGGAACCTCTGCCTCATTCTCAAGATTCTTTTAGCCCCTAACAACTGCCACCAGCTTCCATTCCCTCAGCATGATGCTGCCGCCATCGTATTTCAATGTTTTCTTCACAAAATGTCCTCTGTGTCATCTGACCAGAGGAATCTTTCTCAGCTGTTTGCTTTAATAAATCAGAAATTGGAATGATTGCGGCTTTCTTTAAATAGTGGCTTCATTCTTTTTCCAGCTTTTTACACCTGAGCTGTGGCGATCTGCAGCTCCCTCAGTCTTACTTTGCTTGGCCTGTCAGTTTAGATGGACTACCATCTCTCGTAGGCTTACAGCTGTGTTTCAGCTCTTTGCATTGCTCATTACAGTAGTAACCCTTAAAATGTTCCCCACTTTTCTTGATGGGGCCCTTTGCTGGTTCCCTGCAATGCCTTTTTAAACATAACCATTTACACTTCTTTCAGTCATGATTTGTGGAAATGAAGATCTAAAGAGAAGCGTCATCTCCTGGTCAGAACCTGTAATTCAGTAAAAGGGTAGAGTCAGATTAAACAGAAATGAATGCCCAGGAGAAGGAGGAGGTCACTCCAGTGGCTGGAAGTTGGAGGTGATTCTGCTGGGAGTTGTAGGGAAGTGGGCTGCTGTTTGACTGGCGTTTTACTGGGAAGGGCCATTTTGAATGGCTGCTATTGTAGATGGGCTAAACATGAGCCTAGGATGTTATTCTATAACCTATCTCTACTTAAATCTCCTTTACTAATTATTTAGTTTATCTCCAGTTTATCTCCAGCTGCTGAGTTCAGCCTTCATGAGGCTGTTTGTTTATGTTCATGTTCTTTTTGAGGCCTTAAAAACTTTAAAAAGTGCACAGAGATTGATTCTGTTTTATTATTGAAGAAATCTCTCAAGGCGATAGATTCCACAAGATTTTATGAAGGCTTAAATTCAAATGCATGCCACACTTTTCAGATGCATTGGTAAAGCGGTCGTTAATGTCATCGTTTCCATTTCCCGTCTCAGTTGTTTGCTGTATTGTTGGTCGGTAGAGGGGTGTTCCAGTCAAGTTCTGGAGAGATGCTGTTCTATAACCTTCAGCTCCATCGCTGCTCCTACACACCTGATTTAAATGACCGTATTCCTTCACTTGGAAACAAGATTCTCATTTGATTCAGGTGTTTTGGAGAAGGAATGCATCCAAAGGGTAGCAGCCCTTGTCTCCGTTTCAGAAAGAATTACCGTCCTATCCTGAGTAGAAAGCAGATGCTCTCAGTATTTCTGCTCCTCTCTTCGCTACTCAGTTTTCAGTTTCATAGAAGGTGATATAAGTCGGGTAACTAAACTCAGAATCTATTCAACTGAGTTTAGCTCGAGCATATAGGAAGCCCTTATCAATGGGAGACCGCTAACGAGATTCACCATGGCAACGGCAGGACAGAACAGAAGCCTCAGGCCTATTGGTTAACTTTGCACCGTAGGTGTGGCCGCAAACATTTAACTCTGAGATTTAAGATTTAGATTTAACATATATATATTTAGACTTGTGATATATTTATTTGATGATATGAATTTAAAAATAAATTTAATGTAATATTAAGGTATAGGTATAATATTTATTTTTAGCATTTGGCATGAAATGTGAGAAGAAAAAAAGCCCTAAATTTGATGAAAGTATGTTAAATAAAAAAGATGATATAAAAGTTTTTCATCCTAAATGTATAATATTCGGAGCACCATAATTTTTTATGTGCATGTATTGAATATGTGTATAGTTACAACATAACAGAAACCAACTAATGATATGATTAGCAAAATATTTCATATGTAGGTGATCTTTGCACTGCCAATATCTCCTACGGGACATGTACTTAAAAATGCTCCTATATCACTCTTATTTAGTGCTTGCTGAACATATTAAAATCTGATTTCTTTATTAAACCAGATTTTAGGAAGAGCTACTCCTTTTTAAAAGATGCAACATTTAACTGTACAATAATCATCCTCTCCTGAAAGAAGTATTGTCAAAGTATTTGTGCTCCAACCTCTGCAGCTTCTTCCAGAAAAGGACACATCCTTCCCAACACTCGTGTAGATCTTGGCTAAAAATAAGGAATACTTTGGGTCTTTCAGGGTTCAAGGAGTAACTTGTTTGTATCATTTTACTCACAATAGTGGCTTTTAAAGTGGAAAATCCAGAGTACGCAAGAATTTACCCCCTAGAACTTTCTCTGGATTCCCACTAACTGTGAAATAGTGCCAGACTCATCTTTCATTTTAAGAAAAGTTTTTGCTTCCTAAAATGTCTCGATAACTGACTTTCATCCTGATCAGAGGGTTTTTCTTTTCAACATTGCATAATTTTTAAATCATATTTTCTCTCTTTCTCTATGTAGGAAGGTGGTGGTCTTGGAGAAAAATGAAGAGGAGGCATTTGGGTTTGAGATTCAGGTAAATTGATACAGCTTTCTTCACCATCAACCTGATCTCAGTCACCAGGTATCTTACCTAACCTAAATGAAATGATTGTGTCCTGCATCTCTAAAGCAGCTCGTTTCCAGCCACCAGCAGGAGTAAAACAGTCATGCAGTGATCGAATAAGTCATTCATGTTAATCTCATGACCGGAGCCCCTTTACCCCCTCTCTATTTAAAGCCCTGTGGTTTACTCACACGCATTTAACGTAACATTCTACTCTCTCCCACCATGCCGGCAGGAGCTTTCCTCACAAGACTCTGAATATTCATTCTTCGGATAGTTTGCAGAAATTATTAATGGCTGTGTTTATAACTCGGAGATTTTAATGTGCTGGCACTCGCAGGAAGTCACGGGAAGTCTCAGTACTTCTTCTAGGAAAACACAGTGTTCTATTTACGCTTTTGTTAGACGCTCCCGCCCTTCCTGCCCGGCTTTGGCTTAAAGGAAGTAAGGCCAAGAGGAGCAGATCAATGGTCAGTGGAGACCTCCATGTATGTAAAGTCCCGCGTTTTCTGGTGCTTTTTCCACCCTCATAGTCCGTAATGTGGAGGTGAAACCGAGAACTCGGCATGCAAATATGATATTCGCTGCTCAATGATATTTGCATGCAAACATGTTTATCTTGCTGGTGGCTGAGAAGGAAGCCGGCAGCTGTAAATACAGGCCAGATCTCAATCATTGCAAATTTTACATTGACAATCTCATGCAACCTTGATGCGTGCTCTAATTGGAGCTTCTGGTGCAAGCAGTAGGGAAGGTTGATCAGTTTACTGTCAGTTTTTAGTCTTTTATTTAAATAGACAATACTTCATTTTGCAGCAGCGTGTAAAGAGTCTTAAAGGGTGTCTAATATGAGGAAGTGTATTTTTGGTGCTGCAGCTTTGTGGCCTTTGTGCAGAGATGCTGTGGCCACTGAAACAAGGAAGAGAATGGAAACACATGTGGGGGTTACAAAACGTTTCCAAGACAACAAAATATACATTTGAACACCAGCAAGGAAGTAGACGGATAGTTTGGACAAATAAAGCCGTCAAAACAAAGAAATGTTGTTGTATTTGACAAATGTAGGCTGCAAAACTACAGAAACTACAGGCCTGCTGCAAGTACCTTGGCGATGTCCATATTTACTTAACATGGATATGAAAATCTTTAATGTAGGACTTTTAAAAAGGTTATTGAAATGTTTTGTTTTTCCTGGCTGGAAAATAATACAGCTAATAACTTGACTCATTTGTAAAAATTAACAGACCATACAATTTTGCTAAAAAATTTTTCTTATATACACTTTGAAATTATCCATGCAGGCTCAAATATAAATGCCTGCATCCCCATAATGGATTAAACAGTACTTTTTCTCTATATTTCGGCCTGTATATTTGACCAGCTGGATGAAATACATTTGACCTGACTTTCAGGTGTATTACATAAGTTTTCCATAAGAAGTTGAGGCCATTAAAAAGCCTAATGTCAGTCTGGTTTACCCATAATAAAACCAGTGTGAAAGTGTGTTTTGGAGCGTTTTCCTATTAAAACAACAGATAAAGTCCATATTTAGCTGATTTGAAGTGAAGTGATGTAGTTATCACTTTAAATCCCCCCATCAAGACAATGAAATAACTTGTAGATTCTATTTTTTAGCAAACAATTCATTCGGTCTTTTCTGTCCACAAAACCTTTATTCAGACGACATTGGCTCCCTGCATGTAGGTAAACAAAAAATTAAATCCAAGTCTACAGACTGAGATCAAATGTTTGCAAGTGAGACAATAATTCCAAACACAAATATAAAATTCAGGTTTTGAAAGGGATAAAGCAAACATTGGGCTTTTAAAAAATCAACTCGATGATTTCTGATCATTTATGTTTGCAGTTTTGTTGCATTAGAAAACAAGTTGGCAAAATAATTGCATCTTAAGTGGATATGGAGGAAGGCGTAGTTACAGTCTGTTTATGGATTTTCATTGATTCCTTCATTTCTTTTCTGATACGAGAGGAAGTGGACCTCCTCATTTGCTTCGTGTGCGTCACACATGTGCGTCCTCAGTGATAAAACAGTCTTTCCGGCATTGTCCGTCACGACTTCCCCTGCATGCGGTTCAGTGGTTTCTCCTTTTTTCATCTGTTGCATCATTACCGCAATATTTCAGAACAACACACAAATGTCAGGTTTTGAAAGTTAGATGCTGGACTTCTGAAGAGAGGAATTTATGTTTAATCTTTAATGTCTTTTCTCTTTACTTTAGACCTACGGCCTTCACCATCAGGATCAAAACTCAGTAGAGATGTGTACGTTTGTGTGCAGGGTGCATGACGACAGCCCCGCTCAGCAAGCAGGACTTAAAGTTGGTGAGGGAACTTTTTTTTTTTTTTTTTTTTTTTTTTTTTTTTTTTTGTACTTCATATACCGGTAATTTTTGTGTCGGTTTTTAGCTGAATTTATAGGAATCAAAAGATTTTTCAAGTAAAAGNCTACTCAGTTTTCAGTTTCATAGAAGGTGATATAAGTCGGGTAACTAAACTCAGAATCTATTCAACTGAGTTTAGCTCGAGCATATAGGAAGCCCTTATCAATGGGACACCGCTAACGAGATTCACCATGGCAACGGCAGGACAGAACAGAAGCCTCAGGCCTATTGGTTAACTTTGCACCGTAGGTGTGGCCGCAAACATTCAACTCTGAGATTTAAGATTTAGATTTAACATATATATATTTAGACTTGTGATATATTTATTTGATGATATGAATTTAAAAATAAATTTAATGTAATATTAAGGTATAGGTATAATATTTATTTTTAGCATTTGGCATGAAATGTGAGAAGAAAAAAAGCCCTAAATTTGATGAAAGTATGTTAAATAAAAAAAAATGATATAAAGGTTTTTCATGCTAAATGTATAATATTCGGAGCACCATAATTTTTTATGTGCATGTATTGAATATGTGTATAGTTACAACATAACAGAAACCAACTAATGATATGATTAGCAAAATATTTCATATGTAGGTGATCTTTGCACTGCCAATATCTCCTACGGGACATGTACTTAAAAATGCTCCTATATCACTCTTATTTAGTGCTTGCTGAACATATTAAAATCTGATTTCTTTATTAAACCAGATTTTAGGAAGAGCTACTCCTTTTTAAAAGATGCAACATTTAACTGTACAATAATCATCCTCTCCTGAAAGAAGTATTGTCAAAGTATTTGTGCTCCAACCTCTGCAGCTTCTTCCAGAAAAGGACACATCCTTCCCAACACTCGTGTAGATCTTGGCTAAAAATAAGGAATACTTTGGGTCTTTCAGGGTTCAAGGAGTAACTTGTTTGTATCATTTTACTCACAATAGTGGCTTTTAAAGTGGAAAATCCAGAGTACGCAAGAATTTACCCCCTAGAACTTTCTCTGGATTCCCACTAACTGTGAAATAGTGCCAGACTCATCTTTCATTTTAAGAAAAGTTTTTGCTTCCTAAAATGTCTCGATAACTGACTTTCATCCTGATCAGAGGGTTTTTCTTTTCAACATTGCATAATTTTTAAATCATATTTTCTCTCTTTCTCTATGTAGGAAGGTGGTGGTCTTGGAGAAAAATGAAGAGGAGGCATTTGGGTTTGAGATTCAGGTAAATTGATACAGCTTTCTTCACCATCAACCTGATCTCAGTCACCAGGTATCTTACCTAACCTAAATGAAATGATTGTGTCCTGCATCTCTAAAGCAGCTCGTTTCCAGCCACCAGCAGGAGTAAAACAGTCATGCAGTGATCGAATAAGTCATTCATGTTAATCTCATGACCGGAGCCCCTTTACCCCCTCTCTATTTAAAGCCCTGTGGTTTACTCACACGCATTTAACGTAACATTCTACTCTCTCCCACCATGCCGGCAGGAGCTTTCCTCACAAGACTCTGAATATTCATTCTTCGGATAGTTTGCAGAAATTATTAATGGCTGTGTTTATAACTCGGAGATTTTAATGTGCTGGCACTCGCAGGAAGTCACGGGAAGTCTCAGTACTTCTTCTAGGAAAACACAGTGTTCTATTTACGCTTTTGTTAGACGCTCCCGCCCTTCCTGCCCGGCTTTGGCTTAAAGGAAGTAAGGCCAAGAGGAGCAGATCAATGGTCAGTGGAGACCTCCATGTATGTAAAGTCCCGCGTTTTCTGGTGCTTTTTCCACCCTCATAGTCCGTAATGTGGAGGTGAAACCGAGAACTCGGCATGCAAATATGATATTCGCTGCTCAATGATATTTGCATGCAAACATGTTTATCTTGCTGGTGGCTGAGAAGGAAGCCGGCAGCTGTAAATACAGGCCAGATCTCAATCATTGCAAATTTTACATTGACAATCTCATGCAACCTTGATGCGTGCTCTAATTGGAGCTTCTGGTGCAAGCAGTAGGGAAGGTTGATCAGTTTACTGTCAGTTTTTAGTGTTTTATTTAAATAGACAATACTTCATTTTGCAGCAGCGTGTAAAGAGTCTAAAAGGTGTCTAATATGAGGAAGTGTATTTTTGGTGCTGCAGCTTTGTGGCCTTTGTGCAGAGATGCTGTGGCCACTGAAACAAGGAAGAGAATGGAAACACATGTGGGGGTTACAAAACGTTTCCAAGACAACAAAATATACATTTGAACACCAGCAAGGAAGTAGACGGATAGTTTGGACAAATAAAGCCGTCAAAACAAAGAAATGTTGTTGTATTTGACAAATGTAGGCTGCAAAACTACAGAAACTACAGGCCTGCTGCAAGTACCTTGGCGATGTCCATATTTACTTAACATGGATATGAAAATCTTTAATGTAGGACTTTTAAAAAGGTTATTGAAATGTTTTGTTTTTCCTGGCTGGAAAATAATACAGCTAATAACTTGACTCATTTGTAAAAATTAACAGACCATACAATTTTGCTAAAAAATTTTTCTTATATACACTTTGAAATTATCCATGCAGGCTCAAATATAAATGCCTGCATCCCCATAATGGATTAAACAGTACTTTTTCTCTATATTTCGGCCTGTATATTTGACCAGCTGGATGAAATACATTTGACCTGACTTTCAGGTGTATTACATAAGTTTTCCATAAGAAGTTGAGGCCATTAAAAAGCCTAATGTCAGTCTGGTTTACCCATAATAAAACCAGTGTGAAAGTGTGTTTTGGAGCGTTTTCCTATTAAAACAACAGATAAAGTCCATATTTAGCTGATTTGAAGTGAAGTGATGTAGTTATCACTTTAAATCCCCCCATCAAGACAATGAAATAACTTGTAGATTCTATTTTTTAGCAAACAATTCATTCGGTCTTTTCTGTCCACAAAACCTTTATTCAGACGACATTGGCTCCCTGCATGTAGGTAAACAAAAAATTAAATCCAAGTCTACAGACTGAGATCAAATGTTTGCAAGTGAGACAATAATTCCAAACACAAATATAAAATTCAGGTTTTGAAAGGGATAAAGCAAACATTGGGCTTTTAAAAAATCAACTCGATGATTTCTGATCATTTATGTTTGCAGTTTTGTTGCATTAGAAAACAAGTTGGCAAAATAATTGCATCTTAAGTGGATATGGAGGAAGGCGTAGTTACAGTCTGTTTATGGATTTTCATTGATTCCTTCATTTCTTTTCTGATACGAGAGGAAGTGGACCTCCTCATTTGCTTCGTGTGCGTCACACATGTGCGTCCTCAGTGATAAAACAGTCTTTCCGGCATTGTCCGTCACGACTTCCCCTGCATGCGGTTCAGTGGTTTCTCCTTTTTTCATCTGTTGCATCATTACCGCAATATTTCAGAACAACACACAAATGTCAGGTTTTGAAAGTTAGATGCTGGACTTCTGAAGAGAGGAATTTATGTTTAATCTTTAATGTCTTTTCTCTTTACTTTAGACCTACGGCCTTCACCATCAGGATCAAAACTCAGTAGAGATGTGTACGTTTGTGTGCAGGGTGCATGACGACAGCCCCGCTCAGCAAGCAGGACTTAAAGTTGGTGAGGGAACTTTTTTTTTTTTTTTTTTTTTTTTTTTTTTGCTTGGTTCTGAAATAACCTGGAAAATGCTTGAAATAAACACAGAGGAAGTGAGCGTGACAAGAATTCTTGGTTAAACTCGACCTTCTTTGTGTTTTTATCAGCTGACATTGAGCTCATTATGTCAACACAAGGGTTTCAGCCTGCTGCTCAGTTATAGGAAGTCCAAATGTGACTTTGTGTCATTTTTCCAGCTGACCAACAATTATTTTAGCTGACACAAACTCTGCCTTGCATTCATTATGTCACATAACTTAAAAGTTATCTTTTATTCTCTGCAATGTAGAATTAATTTGCATTCATTCCCCTTTTTCTCTGAAATCCTTACATTTTCTCCACTGTGAGATAAAGTCAATAAATGAAGTGCTGCATGTTCTCTAAAAGAGACAAGTTTCTATTGGAGGTTTATTGGACAAACAGCATCATGAGGACCCAAGAAAACAGAAGGGTTAGGACAGAAACTAAACCCAAGCGTTTGAGGATTTGGGAAATTTAAACCCAACATCTAAAAATGAAAAGAGGAGATCAAACCTACCAAAGCCAAAAATTAGAGAAGACCAACAGCATTTCCAAACATTTGAACCTGTTGCCACCAAAAATCACAATGCAACAGAGTACTGACCTCTTGAAAATATGTATAATTACTTCAATCTATATTAATTCATAATTATACCTCAAAGTTATTCATTTTTAGATGTTTTTATTCCATTAAATCTCCTAATTTTAAATGTACTTTTGACAATTTAATGTGATATTGAATTGTTTAAAGGTGCATTTTAAAAATGTGAATAATATCTTAAATAAGTGTTAAACATACTTATTTCACGGCACATTTATTATTATTTTTTTTTTTATATATTCTTTTGCCCTCCTTACACCTCAGGAATCGTATCACAATGATTTTGTAAACCATCTCCTGGACCTTTTAAAAGGTCCCACTTTGAAAAGCCCTGATATCGAGAAGAGCTGCAGATATTAGATTTAAACTTTGTGGAAGAGCAGCAACAAGAAAATAAGTGAAAAAAGGGAAAGTTAGCCTGAAATTTGAAGGTGGAAGCACCATCATGATGTGTGGATGCTTTCCCCCCAGCAGCGACAGGGAGACTGGTTTGAGTGGGTGTCGCTAAATGAAGATGAATTGTAGAAGAAAACCTTTTAAAGGCTGCAGAAAACCTTATACTAGGGTGGAAGAAAAACAGCCCGAAAGATCTCTCCAGAGTTTGGATGGAACGGGATAAAAAAAGATTCTCCATATAATCTGAGCTGAAAATGTGTGTAAAAGAAGAGGCAATATTTCCAGGTTCTAAATGTTAAAAACGGATAAGGAGCCAAAAATCCCACCTGATGAAAGGTGGATCTTTAAATGATGGATTCAGGAGAAACTGAGTACAAATGGAGTTAGTTTCCTTTTAATTGAACAATTAGACTATTTTGCTTTGGATGTAATATATAAAAACCCAATGACATTGCTTGAAGCAGTCTGCAAAAACCAGAGAGGTAGCTGATGGTTTAACTAGAAGGAAATTTAGGACAGGAAATAAACAGCAGAGAGTTGTAGCAGTAAATCATCATGGCTCCGTCACAATCTGGCCTCCCTGAGCTTTTAGTATGCATCAGTCCGTGATGACACAGAGAGAGGGAGAGAAAGGTGTTTACCTTGACTAAATCCAAACTGAATGTGCCAGTTTCACTTCTTACATTTCTGGCATGCCTGTCTGTTGTCCTCTGTGCTGCTGTGAACACAAAAGCTCATCACAAAGGCCACTGAGTCCACACCACGTCTGATTCCTTGTGTGGCTCTCAAAGAAGACGAAACTCTGAGGGCTTTAAATCCTAAACATGTGTGAAACATCCAGTTCCACTTCAAGTTCCTTTCACCATAAGGAGACTGCATTGCAGTGACAATGTGGAGTGCCACGACTGCATGAGAGCAGCTCTTCACATGTGCAGCTCACATGTGTCGGGGTGTCGCGCTTCAGTTGGCTGCACCTCCAAGAAGTAAAATCCAGATTGTGACCTCACGGAGACTGGTTGACACGTGTGTTGTTTGTGTGTGTGCAGGGGATACCATCGCAAGTGTGAACGAGACCACCGTGGAGGGTTATCTGCACAAAGACATCGTCCAGCTCATAAAGTCCTGCGGGAACACAATCAGGTAAACGGATGGAAGTCATTTCTTTAATGTCAGATAATTCTGGTTTTATTTTTATTCTTTATTTGATCAGAACAGAGGAGACATTTAAAGGTTAGGAATATTTTGTAAAAAGACCTCTGCTGATGATGGTTGGTCAAGGACATGTTCTAAACATCCTGTGCTTGGGGTTAGTTTCTGAGTTTCATACTGAATTACACGAGTAGAGACATCTGTCCTCTTACCTGCGTGTCCTGAGGATGTGTTCAGGTGTGTCACATTGTTAACCTGCTGATCGGCTCCTCGGTGTTTTCAGCAATCGAGGCATGCATCTGTGAATCAGCTGGAAGTGTTTTGTTGCCAGAAGGTTTGAAATTCGAGTAGAGCAAAGAATTAGAAAAAGAAACAAAAGCATATCTTGGTATTTTTTTAAACAAATTGCTCAGAAATCTTCGTACATTCCGTCCAAATAACAAATTAAATTCCTGTTTTAATTCTTTTTCACTTTTAGCTCTTAACTTGCCTGTTTTAGTATTTCTGAGTGGGACAAAAAACATTTAAGTAAAAACCTTGACACTTTTTTTTTTTTTTTATATTAAATTTGAATTTGCACATTGTACGTAGTGCAAGATTGCCTTAAAACCCAATTAATCAGAGTTTAATATAAAGCACATCTGAGTTTAATTTGATGTCATGGAGTTTAAGTCTTGCAGACTTAATTAGTAATCAAGTATTTTTTCTCTTTGCAGCAAAATGAAAGTAGATAAGAGGAAAAAAGACACATGGCAGCAAACATAAAGTGTTATTTTTAACATTTTTCTTCCTTGTAGACTGAATAATAAAAAAAAAAACCAAAGCAGCCCCTCTATACCTGTCTTATTAAGTATGCAGCCATAGAAATCATCGATTCCCATTTAATATGGGTCTTGTTCCACTTTCATCACTTATGTCGATTGTTTTCCTCCCATATTGTTTAAAAACTCCACCATGACTATTGGTTGCCATTTTTCCTTGGTTTGTTATGAAACCACATTTTCTAAAATCCTTCTTTTTTCTTTTAACCACAAAATGTTTTAGGGTGTATTCATATTCTTTTTTTTTTCATCCTAGGAAAAAAAAAAGACGACACTTTTAACATAAGCTATTTTAGTGTCTTAAATTAAAATCTTTTGTGCATTATTTATTAATCAGAAAATAGGTGTTTTGGTCTGCACACACCTGAACTTCTGTTCACTTCCCTCTATAATTCAGCTCTGAATGTTTCTCTCTAAAAACTTCTGTTTTTTTTTTTCTCCAAAGGGTCTCTTTAACTTCTTATACTTCTAATCTAAAACCCTGAACACATAAACATACAGATGGAGCCACTCTGTTAACTTTTTTTTATTTTTTATTCAGCATCATCTTTACTCAGCACCTCCTTTGTTTTGGCCATTTTTCAAATTTTGCCTTGAACACTGTTGTGGTTTTCCTGTCTCTGCTTTCAGATAGGACCAAAATCACCATAGCAACCAATGACTTAGTACTTCTGATGAAACATTTGAGTTTTTTTGAATATTTGTTTTCCATTAGTGTGTCAAGTCCCTATCTGGAGCATTTTTTTTTTTTTACTTTAGGGAGTTTATCTGAGCATCGCTCTGCTCCTAAACCGCCATCCCTGCCCGTTAAAGATTAAAGGGGCAATTAGGCTGTAAGCTTTGAGGGAACTCTTGTAGCCTCAGGTTTTACATTTGGACGTCATCAAATTATACCCTCAGCTTGACTTCTTTAAACTGTTAAAGTGTAAATGTCCCCCCCCCATCCCAATTACAGAGGATTTGTAGCCTGAGGTGTCGGAGTGGAAACTGTTCATGTCTCTAATCCCTCCACGCTGCCTGTAAACTGCTGTTTGACATCAGACCAATTGCTCTTTTAGGCTCATGAAAAGAGCCTTTCATAGAGTTTTTCTTTTTTATTAGCTGTTTTCTGTGCTTGTAGTTTTTATAAGCGCTTCCTGTTGAGCTTAATAACCACATGGTCTTTTGGTTTTTCACTTGAAGGCTGGAGACGGTTTACAGTGACTCAATCCGAAAGGCTGAGCTGGAGGCCCGGCTGCAGTATCTAAAGGTGAGTGGTTTCCCTTAAGCAAGACCGATGATTTTGCGAGTCAGTTTGTGTCCACTGGCCGTTTGCAACCCCCACATACTCAGATATACATTATGTTAATCGTTAGATCTAGGGACCCCTTCCCCCCCTGCTCCACACCTGTCTCCAAAGTAGCTCCACCTGTTGCATAAAGCAGTCTGTGCAGCAGTCGCAGGGATTGCTGCAGGCATGCTCAGCTCAAGCAGCTTGTGAAGTGGCTCAAGTGAGCAGGCTCTCCCCAAAAGATTACACCAGCTGTCCTGCACTAATCCACTGCACTAAATACTTTTTTTTTTAAATGCCACGGCAGAAAGTGCAGCTCAGCCTATTTGTTTTCATGCATACTTTGATTTTATGATGTTTTTCTTAGTAAACAAATCTTTTGTCTTTGTTTTAGCAAACTCTTCATGAGAAATGGGATGAGTATCGCTCGCTGATGGTGCAGGAGCAGAGGCTAGTCCATGGTGAGTTATTATCCCTTACTGGCTTTATTGATTATAGTTTGTTTATTGTTCATAAAAGGATGTTTGGGTTGAAGGATATTTTATAAGTAGATCTGAAATGTCTCTATTTTTAGTTTTTTATTGGTTGAAGATCCATAGATGTTTACTTTCTGTTGATATAAAGCAGAATATTTGTTTTCTGGATGGCTAATGCTGATCAATTTCTCTCAAATGAAAGTAAAATACAGATGTTTTTATAAATTTTTTTTTTTTGTACTTCATATACCGGTAATTTTTGTGTCGGTTTTTAGCTGAATTTATAGGAATCAAAAGATTTTTCAAGTAAAAGGAGCCGTTCATATTAATAGGAATATGAAAATTAGCAGTTTTAGGCAGTGTGATTTGATTCATTTGATTTGTTTCTTTTTTAATTATCATACATTTTTTATAAATTTCATACAATATTTATGAATATGTCAGATTAAAACCATGCCTCATTGCAATGAATTTAGTGCTAACATTGCTCTTTCCTCTTGCAGGTATTGTAATGAGCGACGCTGCTCTGTATGAGTCGCTGGAGTCGGCAGGAATCTACGGCAGCCTCGGCGCTCCCAGCCCCGCGGCTCAGAGGGCCCTACGCAGCAATGGCAGCACCAGCAGCAGCGCCAGCCTCCTCAGCACAGCTACGGAGGACGACCCGCTCTATCAAACCTGCCTCTATCACTCAGATGGAAATGTAGACTTGAGCAGCACGGAAAAAATCAGCGAGCAGCAGCTTTACCAGAGGCAGCAGCGTCCACGACCGAGCAGCGAGCTCCTCACTGTGACCAAAACTCACCTGACCCGCAGCGCCAGCACCCGCAGCTACGTGAGAGAATCTTCGTCGGCGCCGTCCATCGGCTCGGGGGAGAAACAGGTGGGAGGATTCGGCTCGCTCCGCAGAAAACCCAAACAGAAGAGCTTCCGTAGGCGTCTCCTGAAGTTCATCCCGGGTTTGAATCGGCCACTGGAGGAGGAGGAGAGCAAACTGTGAGCGGCTGGTGTACTCAAAGACCAAAGGCATCAATGACAGTGAAACTAAACGGCCAAAGAAAACTGCAAACAGCCTCCAAAGAGTGAAATGTGAGACCAAAGCAATGCGGCCGTGCAGCCGGGACGACCAAACTGGACTTTTATTTCACAGGTGTACATAACTTTTTGCTTCGGCTTGTCTTGATCTCTAAGTTATTTATTTATTTTTACGTGTTCTACTTGTGTGGAATGAAGAACCTTTCACTTTTTGTTCTGTTTTTTTTTTTTTCCTACGAGGACTTTTTTTTTTATTTTGACAAACCTGTGACACATTTAATTGTGCAACAATTTAAAATGACCCTGTTTTGGATCCTAAGAATAAATCATGTGGCATTTCTAGCTTATGTGCTCTTTATTTTGTAGGAAGGGTCTCATGTTTGTGTGAGCTGCAGCAGCTGGATGACCTCCAGCTGAATGAGCATCCTTGTCCATGTGATTCTTAAATATAGTCATTAAGCCTTCACAAGCTTTTCCACCACCATCCTGAAGGGGCCATGGCGAATACGTTTGAAGGCCAGTATGTGGCCGTGAAGCTCTAAGGCATTTATTTGCGCAAGGTATCCAGAATGAAGGCTGTTGTATCGACTCTGACACGGTTTATTGTTGGGGAAAAGCAGAGAGGAATGTGCAGAGAAAAGCATGACCCCAAATTCCAAACACAACCGCTTTCTTTCAGCTCCTGCGGGGCAAATGCCGATTCTTCTTGTTCCACGCTCTCGTATTCTCATGGCAGCCTCAGTTGTCCAGGAGCTTTCTGCTTCTCTGGATGCGTGCGCGTTTGTTGGATGGGAAGGGGGGTTGCAGGGAGTCTTTTCATTCCCTGGCTCCCAGCTGACCCGTGAGGTCATGCTGGTCACTCTCTGCGTTTGCTCCACACCGCTGATCCCTTTTGTCCTCGGCCTGCTCATTCACAGATGCATCAGTGGATGACGATGATGGTGAGCGATGGTATGTGGCCATGTGTTAGGGTCTGAGCTGTGAAGGAGAGGTGGCGGCTGAGGGGGGGTGGGGGTTGTGTTGGACACTGATATAAAGAGTGTTTATGCGTGCTTGCTGGTGCCTAAAACATTAATGTAGAGAGAATGAGCTGAGTGCATAACGAGGAGGTAATTAGCAGAGATGATCAGACACCAAACCAATGTGTTAAAGGTCCGTTTCACACAGACAGACAGGGCTAAACAAGGACTCGCAGCTGATGCTAAACTCTTAAGACAGCAGTGATCAGCAGAGAAGGCTTTGTCTGTGGTTTCCTTCGCAGAAAAAAAAAATCAGCTGATTTAAAGTTGTTATTTAAGAGTGTATCTTTGCAGAAATAGGTTGAAGCCTCAGGGTTTGTGTACTTCAAACATCGCTCTGCTGTCAGCGTGCAGAATGACAAAGGCTCTGACATCCTCAGCTTTATGAGCTTCAGCTTGTTTATCACTCTGAGAAGGCTTTTCTAAAGCAAATCACTATGTTGTTTTTTTTTCCACCATAACTTTTGATTTCACAGCACTTTAAATACAGAAGATGCAATTTAAGGGTCTATTAAACATGGTGGACTCTGGAAAAATGCTTCAGGACTCAGATGTTCCCGCTACGCCCCTAATGGTTGGTATGCTTGAAAACGACACAGTCATACATTTTTTTTTTCCAAAAACATATCTCATATCTTCTTTTGGTCAGGTTTGTGACAAAGGTTACAAAAGTACACATTGCTTAATGCTTTACACACAGTTCTTAAGAGTCACTAAGAACACAGTTGAAATATAGTGTAAATGTTTCTACTAAAGGCTCTGTTATAGGAAGGAGTCCTTTAATGGAAATTTACTGTTTTATTTGACCCCATTTAAATGAAGATCAATACAATCTGGGGTTTTTCTTTGGTTTTCATAAAAATGTTCATGGTGGGGCGTGCCGGGTGCTCAGTGGTTAGCGTGCACAACCCATGTAAGGAGGCCGTAGTCCTCGACGCGGCCGACCTGGGTTCGAATCTGACTTGTGGTTCTTTGCCGCATGTCTCCCCTCTCTGTCATACCCTCTATTCTGTCACCCTACTGTAAAAAAAAAAAAAAAAAAACGAGCCAAAAAATAAAAAAAATGTTCGTGGTGTTTTTCACTTTAAATTTAAAAACAGTTTAGGTAAGGCTAAAAAAAATGTATTTCTTTATGTCAGGACAAATTAATCATATAGTATAGCAATGATGGTGGTTGCACTGGAAAACAATCTTTAATCTATGTTTACACAGTAACCAAAAATTGTGGAAAGGGGGGATTACTTCTAAAACTGCTGGTTTTACAGTGAGCTAAGATATTTTTTTTTTCCATAAAATGAGCACAAGAGGAAATGTTATCTTTAGCATATAACAGATTATCCTGCCAAAAATATTCTTATGTTTCCGCAGAACTCTTGATTTATTTATTAATTTTTTGGGGGGGAGCAAAAAATAAAAACCATCATCTGTTTCTAAATGGTGTCAAATTGATTAGATAGTTTAATATAAATAATATTACAAGTTCCTTTTAATATAAGAACAAAAGATCTGATTCTAAAGACCACTGCAATCTCAAGCTGAGCTCTTCTTTGCTGTTGTGATTTGCTGAAAACATGATTCATAGATGGCTGCTTTTTGATTATTCAACTGTTCATCTTCATTCTGAATAGTATTATATTGTTTCACTCACATTCTCCACACATTAACTTCAGTATAACAATGTGAAAACATATCTTAAAAATTGAAGTAATATGATTACAAATAGGAAAAAATAACTATTAAGTCTTCACATAATTTTCTTAATACGTTGGCTGCAGTTACAGCTTCTTTTTTAATCTGAAGCCAGCAGTTTAGCTTCTTTCTCTTCAGGCAGTTTGATTTGTTCTTCTCCCCCATACATCTGAAGGCTCCATCAGGTTGGAAATGAGACATCTGTGCAGCAATTTCAGATTTCTCCAGTGACATTCAGTTTGATTCAAGTCTGGTCTTGACCTCTACAGGACATTTACAGAGTGGTTCTGTTCCAATCCTTACAGCTGTGTGCTTTGGGTCACTGCCCCAGCCTGAGAACCAGAGCAGAGTTTATTCTCTGATCATTGCTGCATTCATCTTTCCCATCATCCTGACTAGTCTACCAGTTCCTGCTGCTGACAAACGTCCATTTAGTATGATACTGCCACCACCATGCTTCACTGCAGTCACAGTATTGGCCTGTTTGTGAGTGCAACCTGGTTTTCTACCAACATGACGCTTGAATTACGTTTCTAATATGGACCTTTTGGCTCACATGTGTAACATATGTATAGAAAATACCTAACGGTGTTGTACTGGGAGCAGATCATCCACAATGTAGAGGCTGTATTATGCTGTGGGAATGTTTTACTTCAGCAAGGACAGCTAAGCTGATGAGAGTTGATAAGCGAAATAGAGGACAAACTTGTTTGAAAACCTTTTAGAGACAAGAAAATACTGAAACTGGGTCATCTGTTCACCTTCAAAGATTCCATGATTAGCAGATTAGCAGAACTGAGTACCGCAGCAATGCCTTCAAAGGTCTGCATAAAAAGTTGATTTAACAGCTGCAGCTGATCCAGAATGCTCCTACCGGCATCCTCACCAAAACTAATAAAGTAGAGCCATCCCTGTCTCTTAGAGAATAGAGTTCAAAATGTTTCTGTTGGTCTATAAATTACAGAATCGCATAGCCCCAAAATATATAATAGACTTGTTGAGTGCTACGGTGTTCTAACTGAAATCTACTCTGCAGAACCAGAACAAAATCATGGAGAAGCAGCTTTTAGTTCTTATGTTCTTTTCATCTAGAACAAAACTCACTCCCGGAAATCTGTGAAACCGATGAAAAATAATTTCCTTATAATCCAGATTAAAAAGATATTTTTTGAGAGGCTTTTGATTGTTATTAGTTCTTTGTTTACATGTACTTTTCTTATTTGTTCTACTACATACAGTATGTATTTTCTCTTCCTACTGAAATGCGCTACATAAAAAATATTTTCTTGACCTTCAAAAATACGGCTGCAGCTACAATAGAGAAGATCAAATTCATGGTGGAATGATCCAGTCAAAGTCCAGTCTTAAATTCAACTAAGAATCTGTGGCAAGGCTTAAACATTTACTTTCCTATTAGTTATCATAGAGGGATTCAGCATCTTTGCCTCAGCATAAAGGGTCAGGCGGCACTCAATGGAATTGTTCATTATAGTGTGCTTTAGAGAAGACCTTTGGTTATAGATGTGCATCAGTTAGAATTTAAATACTAATTTTCATCAAGTAACTGCAATGACTTGTGGCATGATTCAAAGTTTCACTCTCAGTTGTATTGATGTAGGAAAGAGGAGCAGGAATCACTGGAAAAAGAACCTTTTCCAAAATCAGATCTTCCATGAGAAAAGTTGCTATAAGTATATTTTAAAGTCATTGGTTTAATGTGATGTTTTCATGTATGCTACAGTAGAGTGATCAAGTGAAAAGAGAAGATTTCTCAGAAGTTGTATGATCTTAAGGAAAAGTTAAACCCACTAATTGGTTTTATACTATCTTACACCGATTCACTGTCTTCTTCATTAATTTGGATTTTTTTTTTTTCTTTTCATGAGGAAGCAATTCAACCAGATTTTTTAAATTTCATTGGAATTAAGCATTCAACTATTTCCCCGTAATGATGTGGTTAAAGGTCTTTGTAAGGAGGGGGGCCCTGTTTTGTGTCAGAACATTTTAGAAACATTACCAAGTCTGTGAGCAAGTTGTAATGACTAATGTTTTAACTCTTGAAGATGAAAGCAGCCAAAATGGCAGAAACAAACAAAACCAATTAATAGGGGCAAGGATTTATCATGGGGGGTTAAAGCCTTTTTATTACATGCTTTTTTGATGGAGCGTTTTTTGAGGATTTGGAGTGATCCAGTCTCAACCTGGATCTGAGAGGGAGCTTAAAGTTGGGGTGTTGACAAAAAGTCCATGAAAAAACACCAGTGGAAATATAAAAAAGAAGCTTGTCATCAAATAAAGCCTTGGTTCAAATTCAATCCAGAACGCTCTAACGTCATGACCATCTGCTCCAGCCTATCAGAGCACCACAACGCCTTCATATAAGCCAATCACCATCCAGGACATCCTTGTTTTCCTGCTGAACAGCATCCCTCCTCCACCCCTTCTTCGCCTTCATTTCATTGGACTCCTTCATTTCTCCCATTTCTCCAGCTTTCATCCCAGCATTTGTGCCACACTTTAGAAGATGGAGACTGCTGATTCATTTCTTCACGTCAATAAAACCTAATAGTGATTCTCTCCAGGCTGAATTACCGTTTGATTCCTCTATTAACAATTAAAGA